TCAAGAACCAACCCAGATGCATTATGGACGGACTGTTAAATAAAGCTACACAAGTCTCAGTCTCAATAACTTGCTAATTTTAAGACCATGCCTCAGACATGTTAAAGAAAACCTTCAAAAGTCACATGACCAAAATTTAATCCCAAAGTACGAATCCCTCATCAGGTTATTATTAAAATTAATTTCAATCTACATCACAGCAAAAGGACAACCTCATTAGGCTGGGACATTAGAGCTTTATATTCATATAACCATAATCTTAATCCTAAAATAAGTTTGTGTCCCAAGCAGGGGCCTGGAAACGGTCATATGAGTCAGACATGTCCGATTGGGAATCTCAAATGACTCCTAAGTCATAAGCCAAGAACACAAAAAATATTTTGTTGGAGTTTAGCCACAAACGTTTACAAACAGTCAAAACATATCAATTGTCAAATGTCTTGTCAGACAAAAAGGGTAATTCTGAGACTTGTAGAATAAGCACCAGCATGTTATGTTCCTTTGACAAACTACAATTTCATCAACTCTGAGAACTCATTGCAATTACAAACATCCTTCACCAGCTGAGAGAGTTTAATTTTCATATCAAACATAGGCCTAACCAACCAAGATCAAAGAATAATTTTCTGACACTAGTTATCCCATTGCAGCTTTAATCAATAAAGATCTTTTGTACCAGGCTATTCATAATATTATTGGAGCTCTCTATTCTGTACAAGTCTCCATATATTTTAAAAGAGGTTTAGTAGTGCACACGAGAGGACACATACATTAAACAAACACACCTTCGATGCTGCGATCCCTTCCCCGGCTCTAATTAGTAGGCTGAGCCACGAAGGGACAGCGGATGCATATAATTGAGTCTAACAAGACCTGGGCAGGTAAGGACAAGCTCACTTTACCAGACCAAGAGCATAATATTCTGCATGCAAGCTGGAAATGACATGGAACCACTTTGGACTCCTCTTGACCACAATTTTTTTTTTTAAATTCAATGTACATCAAACATGCCACTGTTGAAAATATGTTTTGTTGTGAGTGAATGTTGTTTTATGCTACAGCCAGCACTATTTTACTATGAGGCCTGTAAATTACTAAATAATTGAGTTTTAAAGTTGGGGTTAAGAAGAAGATGTAACATTCTCCAGGCAGGATCACATGTAACAAGCCATCCAATCCCCTACAAGCCACACAATAGTGAATACCCTGTTTAATCCTTGGTTTTGACAAGCAGGTGGTAGTTGGACCAACAGTCCTATGTTTATTTTGGGTAATAATACACAGGATTGCCAGAATTGTAAAAAAGCACTGACCAGCAAACAGCAAACCAACAATATGCCGAGTATGTGTTAAATGACCAACAGTAAATCAAGAGACTGAGAGTAATACCAAGAGGTTGAAATAGTGTGTTGGTATGTGAGCTGAGGTTCAGTGACCCTTTTAAGTGTCTGACAATACCTCAGTTACTCATGCAAAGTAACAACTGAACGCATTTGCAGATACTTTGAAGCCCAAACTTTGCTCTATGATCATCATTTTTGGTACAGTTCCGTGTCATCACATGGTCGCTTATTAGCCGAGATTACTCGACTGAACAGAATTTTACTAGACTCAGGCTTTGGACGACTGGTTAAAGTCACAGACTCTCCCAGTGATTGAGAGGGAGCCCACTGGCAAATCATAGTTCGTCATCCTTCCAGGGAGAATCGTTACTATTCCTGACAATTAATGTTTTCTCACAATGTACAGGAATTGCAGCATCATCATGATCATTAAGTAACAAATGATATTGTTATCCCAAATATAACATTTGTTACATTTGACCACTTTCTAAATGGCATTGTGTATTCACAGCATCATTAAGTGTTTTATGAATGTCTATGAATACAACAATATTTGAACATTCTAAAAAAAGAACAGAAATTAGTACACTTATGAGAAGGAAGAGAGTGTGTAAATCATCTTGATGCTCCTTGAACAGTATTTCACAGACATTGACCTTCATCTATATATTTGGGACTCTTCAGAACGCTATGTAATACATTTTGAGGCTCCAACTGTCCCAACAACAGATAAAATACAAAGTATGTGTCATACCATTTGCTTATCATAGAACAGGGTTTCCTTGCTTGAGTCAAAGTTTAGTGATTGAGTAAACGAAATCTGACATCAGCTGTCTTGACCTTCATCTGTTTCTTATGAGAACAGATATAAATAAATCTTACAGACATGTTTCAATTGATTAGTTCCAATCATTCCAACATCCTGACTCTCTTGTTACCAAAGGCACTCACAGCGGATATTATTTGCATCCATTTTAATTTACAGTAAACTACGGTTATAACGAACTCAAAGGGACTACTATTTTTAGTTCGTTATAACCGTAGTTCGTTATAAGCATATATACAGCATAATTACAGCAAATAGTCGGGACTAAAAAGTAAGTTCGTTATATCCGTCAGTTCGTTATAAGCGTGTTCGTTATAACCGTAGTGTACTGTATATGCATTTGGACACAATATTTTGCATGCAGTAAACTCAGCTTTCAGTTACCTACAGGCCTGTCAACTTAGTGGGAAAGGAACGTCCCATGGAGCGATGCAAGTTGTAGAGGTTTACTGTTACATGATGAACAAGTGACTCGTCTTCTTAATTATCATTGATGTATGTGATACGTGTCACGGAAACATTTCTATGAAACACACTGCTAGGCCTGTGAATACTAGAACCTTTGGGCAGGGCTCCATATAGTTTTGTGAGCCGTTGAGTATATACTTACAAGTTACCATTCACATTTGGTACTGATAGTTTTATTTGGGTATTCCACATAGTTTTACTCCCTTGGGCCAGTCTATTGGGTATTTTTAAACCAATGAGTGGACATTATTTAAGTTAATTCTGCTTAAAATGCTGTTTCAGGAGACTTCAAATATGCATCTGCAGCCCCAAGTGTTCAACATGTCACATAAACACAGCGATATTTTTGTTGAATTAACAATATGTGAGATATAGCACCTATTTATGCACTATTAACTGCAGAAGAGTTCATGAATGTGTGATACCTGGATCCAATCAGTTATAGAGGTGCCTGTGTCTGTATATATTTCCAAAACTGAGACCAACAAGTAACTCTTCAAATAGACAAGTAATACTGTACAAAGTTCAGGAATAAAATGCTACAAGCCTACAAATACAGTAGGAATACAGCTAGACTGTCCAGTGAAAGCATTGCTAATTGGTAAACTGTTTCATGTCTTCAGCCACATTGATCAAAATGACAGCCAGATTAGGTACTTCATGAATCTTTCAACCATCCTATGAATAACACCATCCAGTTGACAAACATCTCTAGTCCCGCAGAAATTTTGCTGGATAACTTCAAAACATCCAGAGTTAGCTTACATAGCACTATATTACCAAATAATATACTTTGCCAGTTTCTGATAATTTCAAGTCAGAAATGGTTTAAAGGTTGTTTTTTCTCCTCTTTGATCACAGATATATTACTCAAATGAAGTTTAAGAACATATTATTCTTTCACATTACTATAGTTAATCTGTCATTCCATGATTCATATTAAATGAGCAATAAATGTATCATAATTCCTTGAGATATAAAATAATTTCCAAAGCTAATAGTACACAATCATCATGTCCAGCTTACTCATAAGAATGGAATAAGTCTCAAACTGAAATCAGTTGTTTCTCAAAAAAGAAATATATTTTAACCAACCTAATTAAGATCTGACATGTTATAATTATTCATACAAAAACCTGGACTTTGGCTCCGATCCATTGCTGATCAATACACATCATAATGCTTCATTGACCATTGTGGTTCTCCTGCTTAACAAGCATAACTCACCCTAGCAAGTTGTGTATAGGTACTCATTATGTAACAGGTTGTATATTTCATCTACTGACCTGATTACTGTTTACAGGATTTAACCCGGGTGTGTGTGTGTTGTTTAATGCCACACTCAGCAATATTCCAGCTATGAGATGGTGGTCAGCAAATAGTCACATTTAATGTATCACATTAGACCAACCATCTTTTCTGAAGTAATGACAACACTATATTTCACATAGAAAGGATAGGCATATGCATAACAAATTCTTACATTATATTTACACAGCCACATTTCTGTCAGTTATTAAGTGTTTTCTTGCAAATTTGGAACATTTTACAGCAAATGGTACTCCAAATTGAATCTCTTCTTAAGCTTATAATTTCTGTCTGATGTCATCGAAATTACATATCGAAACAAAAACACCTTTTATGGTAACCATATGATACCTGACAATGGTAATTCGATATCAACACCCATCATTAATTATTTACAACACTCAGTAGATGACACTTTGTGATATATTTTGCATTTGAAATGGCAAATACTCTTGTATTATTATCATGAAGAAATCAATACCAGAAGACCTAATCAGCAGGATCATGTTTGGCCTCCCAATGTATTAATAATGAAATGTGATTCGCTAAAGAGATGCTGATTCAATTAAATAGTTCTATCATTTGAAAAACATGAGGGTTAAACTGCAGGGTGGAGCATTTTCTGTTGTACATGAATGCACCAGACTTGCATTTAACCACTGAAATATAATGTCATGCCATTATAACTAAACTGGTTTCTGTATGTTAATAATTGATATCAATGACAATATATCGTAGGAAACAGTTACCACTTCCTAGTTTACTGAGACCTGGATGCACGTCTTTATGCTGTCTTATGCAATACATGACAACACAAAATTATTATATGACCTGAAGACATTTAATATCTATTCAGAATGGTTGGTGGAATTGATTCCTGGAAATGAAAGAGATGCTGAAAACAATGCATGCAGATCAATATTATCGTTCTAAATATAGCCACAAACAGGTCATTGATTCGACAGGTGACAACATGACGGAATGTACATTTCTAAACAACACATACTCATTGCTTGACCCACGATTTCACTATCAATATTAAACGCTTGACTTACCAGGTGCAACACTGTGTCGACAACATCCTTGTTGGACACCTGATTCCCTTGAATCAAGCCGATCAACAAGCCGAATTTTTGCTCATCATCGCCAGGTGCTTTCAGTATATCCAGAACGGATTTCACTTCACTCTTTACTTCCGTGGCCTCTCCAGCCATTTTAGAATAAACAGTGCAACACGAAAGTTGCAGGTAATTGGAACAGGTACTATATGCGCTCACTGTGTATACAGGTGTATATTCTACATTCTTTGATCGACGCCGACATACACCGAAATATTACAGTGGAGCGTGGTCGCTTCCGCATTTGTCGGTCAGAATGGAGTCGCGACGCCGATTCGTTTAAATTTGTGGGTGTCTCTGTACAATATAGAACAGATAGAAATTGTTTACTCAACCCATTTTATTAAACTATTATCACTCTTTCATCGAATCTATGATAAATGAATATTCTGACTGATTGCTATTATTTAGTAAAATAATCACCGGTCGCTTTCTATCGTCCAATCCTACTTCCGGTCGAAGATCTGTCAGTCTGTGCCTAGTCTTCAGCGAAATATTTTAGGAATTTCTCACCAAAAGACAGCTAAGGATGGCTGCCACAGAAGTGCAAAGGGTAAATCAGTTTATATATTAACACAGGGCATGGTATAAATTATCTTTTCAGGAACTGATTGCCTTTGGGTGCCAGTTTTCTGAAGTCGAAAGCATCAGGAACAAAGACAAGGCTCTTCAGTTTAAATGGACTGAATGATTCATAAACATGACAAATATGTGCCCGAGAAAGGTCTTTAGTTACACATAGGTGCAAATACCAATCCCCTTAGTATAACGTGAGTTATTAAGAGTATTGTGATGGATTGTACGTCTGCAGGCCAGTTCACCTAGGTAACAATCTAGCACCCCCATGATCACTGATGGGTTCAGCAGGAAGCCGGAAACACGCGAAACTAGCACCAGCAGTCTTCTTTCACACCATTGGAAGTGGTTTGTGACAGTTATCTGACTTTATATCAGGACGATTTGTCGTTCTAGGAGCTATTTGTCTTAAAGTTTTCTTGAATATAACGAGTTAACTGTATCATGTTAATATTATGATCAAATTTACAACTTTTGTAAAAACAATAGTAAATAATTTAATTTGTCCAATCACTTAATGCTCCAGGCTGTGCAGGCCAAACAATAAGTTATCTGTGAAAATATAGACTTGCTCAGAAATAGAGGATGACTTTTTTTTTCCTTTTCCAGGGCTTAGTGATCAGAAAAATCGAGTGTACAAAATATAACATTGTTATGATTATGATCATAAGCAATAAAGTTATTTTCAAACTTTCCAAATAGAAATGAGCTTTTTGATGTTTGTTGAGTATTGTAATGATTATTATGATATTATTATTATATTAGTGACAGACATTAATCTTGAAAGCAGATGATGATTCACTTTGATTCAGAATGTGGAGTAAGGTCAGTGATGGAAATTAACTACAGCCTGCTCGCCCTGACCAGTTTTGTTAATCGTTAAGGTTATCCTGAATGCTAGTAGAATTTCAAATAATTTGGGGGTATTGCTAAATGTTATCACTATTCAGGCCAGTAGATGTTCTTGGTTAATTTCCATCCCTGAAGGTGTGTTATGGAAATTCAGGTACATAAGAGCAGGGTTAGATATTAAATATGTTCTGTCATCTTTCCAAGGCAAGGGCGTTAACTGACTATAAAAGTCCAGTTTTCAGCCATGCTGTACAAGGCTGGGATTCCAGGGTTACATTTTGGCTGGACTAATGAGTCTATGCATAGTCCTATCTAAATCGTGTAATGAACTAAACGTCCGGTTTGTAAACAACTTGGATTTTAACATGAAGATTTTGGTTGACTTTAGGATTTGCAAAGCATGTGTACTGCCAACTGGGCATCACCAGATATTTTGCAAATCTTTTCATGTTTTTGATCAAGGTGCTCAAGTGATTTGATGCACTTCGTGAGGTAAGATCCGTGTTATTACAATATAGATCTTGATTAGCAATCAGATCGTCTTGACTAGGTGCCGCCATTTTATTAGAAGCAAATGCAAGTTATATGAGAGATGGAATCTGATTGGTCAATAGGAGGGATTATTTGTGTTTGTAAGAGACGAAATGAGTTTAATTTCTATTATTTTTCTTCAAAGCGTGTTATGTTTTCACAATAAGTTGAGTTTGCGTATAAGCTTAGTTGGATTATAGTTGGAGTAGAGGCTAATTTCTAATGTAAACTTGTTTTAACATCTCACAATTATTGGCATTTGCAAGTTACAATGTAAGTTTAATATCATTTATTTGACCAAGGAAAAAATAATAATAAGGTGCCGTTTTCGCTCAAGTCGAGGTGCCGTTTCGCCAATCAGTGCCGTTTTCGCCCGATGATATTTTGCTGAGGTGCCGTTTTCGCTATAACCCACTCATAATAGCCACTGGTGGCGCTACGATCAAGCCTGGAAATTACAGCCTAGTTCGGCAAGGGTGGAAACTGGACTCTTGCTGTCAGTTTACGCCCTTGCCTCGGGAAGATGCTTTCAGTTGACTGCAAAAATGATCTGCTAGTGCTACAAAGTTGCCATCATCAATGGTAAAAGCGGTAATCCAGAGTGATATATCATTGGTGTTCTCTGAATTGTACAAGTCTGAGACTTGTGTTAATTTCCAACCCTGTTATCATTGTCATCAGGATCATAGTTTTAACATTTGCAAGATTAACAAGATTAACAAGATTAACTAGATTAACTAACATGTTGGTTCTGATGACTTCTTTTCAGGAAGCCACCGTAACAATTAATTTGACACAGGTGAGACAAAAATAACTTACATTCTGATAAAATCTTTTAAGATATGTATAACTCTATTTGAAGGGTCTACAAACATATTCCGAGAAGATAAAATTCTTATTAAAAAGCAATTATCTTTCCATGGGTAGAAATCTACTAATATTAACGCATGTTATGATAGCATGTTTGAAGAAACACAAGAATCTTTTAGGTCTACTAACTTTTGATTTATTGTACTTTATGCCTTGTGGTCAGCAGTGGTCAAGTGACCCATCACTAATAATACCAAGATTACCCTAGAATTCACGGAAAATGATATCAGAAATATACATGGCAGTGTTACCATGGTTAATTTACATGTTAAACAGGATCCTTGTTTTTTTGTTTGTCAGTGGTGTTTGAATGTAAGGACACCTTCAATTCATCATTGTTATCATGAGGATTATGACAAGTACCTTTTGAATTTAATCTTTAATGTCAATACTTCACTCTATGGGACAAGGGGAAACAGATTACTCTGAAATTAAGGGTCACATGACCAATAAGTAATTTACTGGTATTATTATTTTTTTGTTTTCTCTAGACAGAAGGGTGCATGGATGGCCCAGTCATCTAAGGCACCGCAATTTTCTGTGCACATGCACAGTTGCATCCCTTGGGCATGCCAGAGACCTATGTTTGTGGGTTCGAATCCTGGTTTGCCTCGATTGTTTTTAGGCTTGTCAGCACCATACCTGTGCTCATGGGTTTCACTGATGTAGAAAACGCTGAGACCTGCATCACTTTGGGCTTTCCTCCCATATTAAGCTGACATGCCGTGATATAACTGGAATACTGTTAAAAGTGGCATCAAACCTCACTCACTCACTTACTCACTCACTCACTCCCTCTATTCACTCACTCACTTTTAACAGAACATGTTGAATCTGTTTATGCCTATAGTTTAGAATGTGATATCATATGTATTTGCTTTCCACTTGTTTATGACTGTTTGTTTCGAAATGCATTCAAAATTACTGTCATGCTGTGTTTCCCTTACAAGTTACATGCAAACATTTCGTAACAGATATACTGCATTTAGTAATTAAATAATTTAGTCTTATTTACATGAACACTCAGCATGCTCAGTACCAATACTCACAATAGTGTTTCAGTCTTCAACGTTTTCTTTCTGAGGCCCGTGTCTAGTAAAATTCTGTTCAGTCTAGTAAGGTCAGGTATTGATAGGCCCATAATAACGTCAGACCACCCTCTGTGGTCTTGTGGATAGAGCGCTTGCCCAGAAAGTGCAAGGTTGGGGGTTCGATCCCTGGCTGTGACTTACCAAAAGATTTTAGAAGATGTGACTTGTTTCCCTGCCTGGCTGTTGATATTAATAGGATAAAAACAAGGACTGGTCAGCTATACTGTGTCTGTGTGTGGTATCAACATATCCGTTGAGCTCACTAGACCGCACAGAATTTTACTAGACTAGGGCGTCAGACTGGTGGCTAAAATCACAGACTGTCAACATGGTCAGTGTATGATGTTGATATAGAAGTGTGTAGATAGTCTTCACTGGCTCATGGTTTTACTCTGATGTGTTTGCAGATGCCAGCTCAGAACTTGAGGAATCTCAACTTGACAGGTCATGTTGGGTTCGACAGCCTGCCAGATCAGCTGGTCAACAAGTCTGTGTCTCAAGGGTTTTGCTTCAACATCCTCTGTGTTGGTAAGACTATAGAATCATGTTAGAACAGACTTCATCTGCTTCAACGTCCTCTGTGTTGGTAAGACTATAGAATCATGTTAGAACAGACTTCATCTGCTTCAACATCCTCTGTGTTGGTAAGACTATAGAATCATGTTAGAACAGACTTCATCAGCTTCAACGTCCTCTGTGTTGGTAAGACTATAGAATCATGTTAGAACAGACTTAATCTGCTTCAACATCCTCTGTGTTGGTAAGACTATAGAATCATGTTAGAACAGACTTCATCAGCTTCAACGTCCTCTGTGTTGGTAAGACTATAGAATCATGTTAGAACAGACTTAATCTGCTTCAACATCCTCTGTGTTGGTAAGACTATAGAATCATGTTAGAACAGACTTCATCAGCTTCAACGTCCTCTGTGTTGGTAAGACTATAGAATCATGTTAGAACAGACTTCATCAGCTTCAACGTCCTCTGTGTTGGTAAGACTATAGAATCATGTTAGAACAGACTTCATCAGCTTCAACGTCCTCTGTGTTGGTAAGACTATAGAATCATGTTAGAACAGACTTCATCTGCTTCAACATCCTCTGTGTTGGTAAGACTATAGAATCATGTTTTCTGGACATGGAAATGATGGTAAGTCCTGTTCATTGAGATGTCACTGACAAAATGAACAAGATGATGTAATTGTTTGGTTCATGTCACACTCTAAAGTAATTTAAGAAGGTTGTCAAACTTTGATTTAATATTTGTTTGTATACTTCCAGGGATTCAGATCAGTTCATTTTCAAAGAACATTAACTGAATGTCATCCAAAATGTCTTAAGATGTGTTACAGTGTGTAATGATACAGAACAATGACCTATCAAAAGAAGAAAAAACCCATTAAGATGTCATAAGGCCATTTGTCTCTAGTAAAGTCACAATTTCCCGTTTCAGGTGAGACAGGAATTGGCAAGTCGACGATGATGGACACTTTGTTCAACACAAACTTTGATTCCACCCCCAGTTCTCATGATCTGCCTGGAGTAAAACTCAAAGCCCATACATACGGTAATATTGAAAGAATGCGCAGATGACAGTATTATTTGAACTTCAATTTCCGTACTTTTGATAAGACTGTGGCTGTTAGACAATGGTTAGGCTGTGAATAGAAAAAAACAAATCCAGTGATTATTTGCAAAACTAATTTGAAGATCTTGAATTATAGCTGAGCGTGATTATGGATGAAGATAGGATTTTCATTGTTAACATTATTAAGATGTTTTATTTATTTTTCTGAGGTGTCTATTGTTTCATGGATTGCCTACTTTTTGTCGCTGTAGATTTTTTACTTTTGGAGTACAAACAAATTATTGTGTGTTTTTTTTTATTAAAGTTTTCATAAGCATGGTGAAATATTGACGACTTCTAATTAATATGGAAATACATTTTAAATTGTCAATTCAATGTCTCATGTGTTGATAATTGCAGATCTACAGGAGAGCAGTGTTCGACTCAAGTTGACCATAGTCGACTCGGTTGCTTATGGCGACCAGATAAACAAGGAAGAAAGGTATGCAGGTTTCATGTGTCTTCTCATCCCCATGTTTCAATATTTCAGAGCTACGAGAGAAGAATGTGTGTTTAAAACTGACACTGGTAGACACTGTGGGCTTCGGGGACCAAATAAACAAAGAGGATAGGTGAGATGCTGTAGACGGGTGTTGCTTCTAGCTTCCTACTTCTAGTGCTTCTTCATCTTGTACTCTGACTCATCTCTTGTGACTGTACCTTCAGTAGACTGTGTGGCCTTGGACATGCGGAGGTGGTTTGATTCTTTTAGTTACTTGTATCTTATTTATGAATGGTTCAGGTGTGTTTGATGTTGTGAATATTATCCTTTCTGTGGAGACATACAGTTTTTTGTCTGTTGTTTGGTTGTTTTGTGTTTGTAAGGGTGGGAAGGGTGCAGATATTGTAGTATCTACCAGTATCGTCTGTGGTAAGTGATGTTTAGGTATGAGTTCATTTTGTCAACAATGTTTCATCAGCAGTAAAGTCATCCCAGTTGTCATCATCGTCATGGCAACCACGTTCCTCCATCATCTGTGAAGACATACAGCCACTATGTGTGTAACAGTGAAGCCTCTCTGTTAAAAAATGTCTGTGAAACTCATGGAATTCAAATGAGCCCTACTCCATGTAAGAATTTTGTGAGAACGCCACCATTGCTGGACATTCAAACTATGAGAAGCAGAGAGCCACAAGACCATGATACCCAGTGTGTTGAGGAACCTTGCCATTTGTGTGATGAAAGCTGAGCGCTCAGTGGTCACAGCACCCTTGGATTAACCTCCCACTTGAATCTGCGCTTGATTTGATGGTTAGACATAGCGACTGCACTGCAAACAGTATGTATTCAGGGATGAGGCATTTATTGTAAACAAGCCTATGAACTACAGATGATGAGTTTTCACAGGATGGAATCGTTTTGGTTTGGAAGAAATCTTGTTTCTTTCTGTTCCTCCACTGGAAGTAGACTTGTGATCAATGTAACGTTGTGTAAGTATTGTGTTCTTTGTTGTAAATATCATTTTGCCCAGGGAATGGCGGGGACAAGGTTGTTTAAGACACCACAATTCTCTGTGCTGAAGAGTTGTGCCCCTTAGGCATGCCAGGATCCTAGGATTGTGGGTTTGGATCCTAGACTTGCCTTGATTGTGATTCTTGGTTTGTTAGAGCCATACCCATAGTCATGGGTTTCATCAAAGTGGAAAACATCTAAGATCTGCATCGCTTCAGGCTTTCCTCCCAAAATGCTGTTCAAAGCCAACCCAACCTAATCAATCGCTTGTGTTGACTTGTACCTCTATCAGTGCTACGGCAGCCTAATTTGCCATGCCTGAGAGTTGCCTCCCCTTCATACCTACATTATAATATAATATCGTGGCCTGTTTTGTGATATTTTCAGATTTCTTTGGATATGAACAAGATTAATTGACAGTGATGACTGCTACTAGTGCTAGAAATCTTTTGTGTGAAATATGATTAGGGTACCAGTAAAGTCAGTTGAGATTAATTTTTGTGACCCCCCTCCTTTTGCTGTCATTTTTTTATGAACAAATTACTTTTATTACCTTCTGAAGTGAATGTCAGTAGCATCTCTGATATGTTGAGCATTATACTGTTCTTTGTTCTTATACCATCAGCATGATAACAAAAATATATCCTACTGCACAGTTTTGCTGTGTATTGCACCCCGATAACCCATGTATACCCAATATGGATTTTCTGCACATGTTGGTGATCACATGACAAAGGACATGCTAAAGGACAGAACTGCTCATCGTTGAGTGTTGATATATATGTAAATGTATTAAGGGTGTGTGGTATTCCGGAATATCGGTAAATTGAGATTCAGTCTTTCCACAATACGTATCACAATATCATTTTTTCATGCTGGATATATTGGGTGATTTCAAATAGCGATTTTTAACATTTGTTTAATGGTATATACTTGCCAAATGCCTTCGCTGCCCCGGAGCATGCATCTGGGGCCCCGAGATGGCCACATATTTATTGACTAAGTAAAAATTATGTTGCTCCAGAACCTTGTTTTGTTCCATTTATGAACTTCAATTCATACCTTAATGTATCAGATTGCTTCTAAATTCAAAATTTTGAATTATACAATATATCGTGATACATATCTCATAACAGCCTTGCAAAATATTGTGATACACTTCAAGCCTCCAATACCCATCCCTAATATGTGTGTTAAATTCCATATATCATTGTAACATCTTGCTAAGTATGCAAAGTCTACATCCTCTGGATACTGACAAAGAATGGGAGTAAAGTGGTATACTAATGGGGTCTGATGTCTCCAGTCGGGTAGTGTGTCCTGTGTCACGTGGTTAGCATCAGATAGAATCACGATAGAATCGTGGGAGATTTCATGTCCCGAAGTATGGATTATTGTCTGGATGTATGTCTGATGTAAGTCTGATGTATGTCTGATGTATGTCTGATGTATGTCTGATGTATGTACAGTATGAAGGTGCCTATGTACATTTAACGCTAGATGTTGGTGGATGGAAGTAGTGAAAATAATCTATAGCGTTCATGATATATATTGAGTTATTCCTTATGAACTTCTCCAAATATTATTTAACTTTCACGTGATTTTGTATTTTATATGTGGGCTTTCATAAATGAAACTTACCATCTTCAGGGTAGACGTCTAAAAATAGATATCCAATAACCTGTGGAATGCGTGAAGATCCTGGTTAAAATTGATCTTCAGCAACCCATGCTTGTTGTAAGAGGCGACAAGTGGAAACAGGTGGTCAGGCTCACTGACTTGGTTGATGCATGTCCTATCCCAATTGTGTAGAAAGATGCTCATAATGTCAATCACTGGATTGTCAGGTCCAGAATTGATTATTGCCAGATCTCCATCATATAACCGGAGTATTGCCGAGTGCGGCTTTAAACAACAAACAAACAGGAAAAGAACAAACATGGAGACCCGGATCAGAAAAGGCCACTCTAAACCTGGACATATGAGTTGACTAAATGATCATTGTTCTTGGATGTCCGGGGGTTAGTGATTCAAGAAAATCTGACATGGACTGTCCGAGCCTTGATTTTATTTGTTACCAGAAGAGAAAAATGTAATGAACCCTTCATAAATGTTTCAATTAATTAGCTCCAGTTATTCCAACATCCATATTCTTTTGCTTCCAGTGGTACCTGGAGTCAATATTATTTGCTTTATTCTTCATTGCAATCTAAGTGACGGTTATATCTACAAAGAAAAAGTTTCAAGTTGCATGTTTTTTAGGGGCGGCTGCAGGGTGTGTCTCCACCCCACTCCCACCCCAACCCTGCAACCCTTATTCAGACCATTGCCAATCGCTCTATCAGAGTGTGTGCACCTTTTGAGTGAATGGGGTAGTGTGCACCCAACCTTCTTCAACATTCTAGATCCACATCTGCTTACTGTCTCTTTACTAGCCTAATCTATAGCCATGGTAGAGCAAGCTTTTCAGAGTAACTCCCCCAAGAAAATAACTATAATGACACGATGCAGCCAGAGTGATAGTGTTTGGTTTAAGTTGCTTCGGTGGGGACAGCTAGTTCCTGGTTGATACCGACAGGAACATGTTTTCCATAAAGGGAGATAACTGCTGTTTTTCAGCTGGAAGTCCATCGTTGACTACATCGATACCAAATTTGATGCATACCTCCAGGAGGAACTCAAGATCAAACGCATGCTCCACAGTTACCATGACAACCGCATCCATGCTTGTCTCTACTTCATCGCTCCAACAGGTCACTCGTGAGTATCCGTTTGTTTGTCCAAATATTATGGAATCTGTCGCTACTGCCGACCATTTTGTGGTACCTGCTATATCTATTATGTTCCTGGCATTTCTAAAATGGTTAATTAATTTTTCACAGACTTTCTACATTCCCGGTATTATTTGTAGAATAAGACAAACGTACCATACAGTCTTTAGATTAGTGGCTTTATTCTATATGTCTGACCCACCACCAGCTAAACTGTTTTGTGTCACAAACCCCCCTTGGACAACTGCCCCTTGTTACACAGGACAAGTATCTTATGAAAACTTGACACCAATATTACACGTTTAAGTAAATCCTTTGAATGCATTACAAACTCTTTTAGTCACATGTGAACCATATTCTGGGAACAATCTTCCTATTGGCAGTTTTCTCGGGTGCAATGTTCCTAGGGGCAGTCTTCTGGGAACAATTAGTATTCAGGGGGTCAGTATTCTGGGAGCACTAGTTTTCCTTGGGGGCAATTTTCCTTTGGAGCAATTTTCCTAGGGGTCAGTATTCCTTGGGAGCAATTTTCCTAAGGGTCAGTATTCCTTGGGAGCAATTTTCCTAGGGGTCAGTATTCTGGGAGCAGTTTTCCTTAGGGTCAGTATTCTGGGAGCAGTTTTCCTTGGGGTCAGTATTCTGGGAGCAGTTTTCCTAGGGGTCAGTATTCTGGGAGCAGTTTTCCTTGGGGTCAGTATTCTGGGAGCAGTTTTCCTAGGGGTCAGTATTCTGACACCTTATCAACAAGGACCGCGATCTTGCTCTGAAGTTGCTGCAATGAACATGTTTGACACCAACAGAGGTCTGCTATTTGACCATTTTACGATAATGCGTGGTCTGCTAAACATAACCATGGGAGACCACTCTTAGGGAAACTTTCATATCTTCATGGCTGAAGATTTCCATCTTAGTTAATTATCGATTTTGAAATCGACGTAAGTCACTGAGATCGATAGTAGTTACGATCACTTTGTGCAGCGGGACCCTGTACTGTATCCATGTCATCATCAGGACATATGTTGTTTCCCTTCAGGCTTAAAGCACTAGATCTGGTCACTATGAAGAAGCTAGATAGCAAGGTCAACATCGTACCTGTTATCGCCAAAGCTGATACCATTACCAAGACTGAGCTCCACAAGTTCAAGGCCAAGGTGAGTAGAAGGAAAATGATGATCGGATGAACCCAGTGTCTTTGACAACTGAGTCAAAACAAATTCTGAATAGACCCATATTCCATAGTGTGTGTTTGTTTGTGTGTGAGTGAGTGAGTGAGTGAGTGAGGAAGAGAGGAATTGGCCAAAAATTGGGATTTTTAAAAGTTGCTTATTTTCTTAAATTCAAATGTATATTAGCAACACATTTATTGCATTGATGTAAATCTAAGTGTATTAAATACTTTGTATACAAGCTGTAACGTCGAGGATTATTACTAAGTATTATTGAGATGAAGAAATTCTATTTTCAGAGAAATATTTTGCAATCCAGTAAAACTTATGGTGTTTGAACTAGAATTGAAAGCCTTTCTTGTTTTAAGGTTACTTTTTATTGCCATTTTTTCAGGATGACTAAAAACAGCGCTGATGTTTTCTGTGTTTATTATCCCCCGCCCAACAAAGTTGGCGGGGAATATAGAAATGGGCTCCGTACGTCCGTCCTTCCGTCACGTTTCGTTTCCGGAGCATAACTCAGAAACTGTTCAATATTTTTTCATGAAACTTTGCAGGTCTGTCAAGTTCATGCTGAACTTGTGCCTTTTGCTATTTAGACATTTTTATTTTTTACATTTCCATGGCCATGATGGCAACAAGATGGACTTAGGCTCCAAACTCTTCTTTTTTTTTACAATTTCCATGACAAGTTCCACCTCGGTTAAAAAAGGTTAGGGTTTGTTTAGATATAATTATGTCATAAATTCTGCAACAGGGGCGGGGGACATAGCCTCGTTAGTGGCAAACTCTTGTTAGCCTTGCCGTGGTGACCCTGTATGTTATGTTGTAGATTATGAGTGAGCTGATGGCCAATGGAGTGCAGATCTACCAGTTCCCCACCGATGATGAGACAGTGGCTGAGACCAATGCTTCTATGAATGTAAGGACTGAAATAATGTTTGAAAATTAGTGGTCATTGTATGTTGTTTATGTTTTGCATTGCAGGCTTCCTTTCATTTAATAATGAGAAAATCATTTGTGATATTGTATTCTGTGATGCATCAAGGAGTGAGTAAGCAATATAAACTTTGGGACAAGGAGACCGACCACCCAGTCCCAGTTGTAACAGACTCTTGTGCCTGTTGTGACCCTCCCACCCGCTCAACAATGCTCAAGACATCCAGAATACTTATTTTGTCTTGGCATCCAATTAAAGAACTCTGGAGTCATATTTTGTCTTAAGATTTACATGATTAAATTATATCTAACTTTAGATGTTTTCTCAACTTCATCTTCTCCTCTGCAGAGTCATCTCCCCTTTGCTGTTGTGGGCAGCAATGATGAAGTGAAGATCGGCAACAAGATGGTAAAAGCAAGGCAGTACCCTTGGGGGACAGTGCAAGGTAGATTGCCAACTTCATGAGAGCTGAAATATTCATTGTTCCCAGCACCACCGTCATCAATATAACACAATTCCTAGACTTGAATACAGCGTGGAAAGCTGTGTTAGAAATGGTCCCAGCAACCGATGCTGATTGTAAAAGGAGACCTATTGTCTTTATTCCCCAATGGCATCGATTGTTGCTCAAAATATCAATCACTGGATTGTCGGCCGCCTCCGTGGTCTTGTGGTAGAGCGTCCGCCCGGAGAGCGGAAGGTCCGGGGTTCGATCCCCGGCCGCGTCATACCAAAAGACGTTAAAAGATGGTACTTGTTGTTACCCTGTCTGGCGATGACATTAAGGGGCTAAAACAAGGACTGGTCGGCTCGGAGTCAGTATACTGTGTCTGAGTGGGGTATTCATGTTAAACTGCGGCATGGTATCTCAGTGAGCTAGCACTATAAATCAGCATCAGTCCGGACTAGTACAAGCAGCCACACACGTGCATGCACGTCGCTATATAAGTGCAATAATCTTGGACGCGACGTTAAACCCAATTTCACCTCACCTCACCTCACTGGATTGTCTGACCCAGATTCAGATTATTCATATGCTGCAATCATGTAGCTGGAATATTGCTGAGTGTGTCATCAAATTAAGAACACACACACAGGTCATGCTTAGTTTTATGATCTAAGATTGACTGATATTGGAAGATAATCAATCACAGATTTCATGAACAATTCCTTGGTTGGTAAATGAAACCAATCAACCATCTATCTCTACCCATAACCATGTCCTGCAGATGCAGCATTTCCTGTCCTGTCTTTGGACTTGCTATATTTAAGAAATAACCGGTGATTGGGAATTGTTTATCACACAATAAAACACTGCATGGAGAATAAACCACTCGTGGAGCTAGGAGAACAAACCACACATTGTTCTTCATTGCTCTTTGCGATTTATCGCAAAGCTATCTGATATGTGACAATAAACTACCTTGCACATTTGGTCAAAGGACTTGTGATCAAGTTGAGATGGTCCTGAGATTGTTACTGTGCTGATTTGTGTAATTCGCAAACATGCCTCTCTTTAAATGACCCTCTGTTCTAATCTGGGTGTTATTGTACAAAGCGATACCTTTACATAGCACTAAGGTTGTTTTGTACAAGGGCACCCTGTTGCCTCAAAGGCATTCAAGGAATAGTTTAAGAATGAAAAGACAAAATATTCATGACCGTTCTCCAAATTGGATAAACTGTTTCATGATTATCCAGCTTCAATCCAACCCCTTACACTGGCTGTTGTCAAATCTTTGTTCAGTCATTGACATTGCTGAGGCGATGTGCTTTCTTTTGTGCAAACTATGACTTGACTCACATGTTGAGAGATGATCTTCATGTGATACTGTGCTCTTTCAGTTGAAAACGAAAACCACTGTGACTTTGTGAAGCTCCGTGAGATGCTGATCAGAACCAATATGGAGGACCTAAGGGAGATGACTCACAAGCGTCATTTTGAGCTGTACCGCAGACACAAGCTTGAAGACATGGGATTTTCAGACAGTGATTCAAAGAGGTGAGAAAATTAGTCTTTAGTTTTATCCCAGTTCAGACATGATAAGAAAATCATGAAACACCTCTACAAAAGTAGATGTCATAAAAAATATTTACTCAAATCTGTATGTCTGATGTTCTGTAATGGTAATGCTGTTCCCAGTCTGTCTGATATTGTGAACATAGTGATGTTGCCCCAGCCTGTCTGATATTGTGAACATAGTGATGTTGCCCCAGCCTGTCTGATATTGTGAACATAGTGATGCTGCCCCAGTCTGTCTGATATTGTGAACATGGTGATGCTGCCCCAGCCTGTCTGATATTGTGAACATAGTGATGTTGCCCCAGCCTGTCTGATATTGTGAACATGGTGATGCTGCCCCAGTCTGTCTGATATTGTGAACATGGTGATGCTGCCCCAGCCTGTCTGATATTGTGAACATAGTGATGTTGCCCCAGCCTGTCTGATATTGTGAACATGGTGATGCTGCCCCAGTCTGTCTGATATTGTGAACATGGTGATGCTGCCCCAGTCTGTCTGATATTGTGAACATGGTGATGCTGCCCCAGCCTGTCTGATATTGTGAACATAGTGATGTTGCCCCAGCTTGTCTGATATTGTGAACATGGTGATGTTGCCCCAGCCTGTCTGATATTGTGAACATGGTGATGCTGTCCCAGTCTGTCTGATATTGTGAACATGGTGATGCTGCCCCAGCCTGTCTGATATTGTGAACATAGTGATGTTGCCCCAGCCTGTCTGATATTGTGAACATGGTGATGCTGCCCCAGTCTGTCTGATATTGTGAACATGGTGATGCTGCCCCAGCCTGTCTGATATTGTGAACATGGTGATGCTGCCCCAGCCTGTCTGATATTGTGAACATGGTGATGTTGCCCCAGCCTGTCTGATATTGTGAACATGGTGATGCTGCCCCAGCCTGTCTGATATTGTGAACATGGTGATGTTGCCCCAGCCTGTCTGATATTGTGAACATGGTGATGCTGCCCCAGTCTGTCTGATATTGTGAACATGGTGATGCTGCCCGAGCCTGTCTGATATTGTGAACATAGTGATGTTGCTCCAGCCTGTCTGATATTGTGAACATGGTGATGCTGCCCCAGTCTGTCTGATATTGTGAACATGGTGATGCTGCCCCAGTCTGTCTGATATTGTGAACATGGTGATGCTGCCCCAGCCTGTCTGATATTGTGAACATGGTGATGCTGCCCCAGTCTGTCTGATATTGTGAACATAGTGATGTTGCCCCAGCCTGTCTGATATTGTGAACATGGTGATGCTGCCCCAGCCTGTCTGATATTGTGAACATAGTGATGCTGCCCCAGCCTGTCTGATATTGTGAACATGGTGATGCTGCCCCAGCCTGTCTGATATTGTGAACATGGTGATGCTGCCCAAGCATGTCTGATATTGTGAATAGTGATGCTGCCCCAGTCTGTCTGATATTGTGAACATGGTGATGTTGCCCCACCCTGTTTGATATTGTGAACATGGTGATGCTGCCCCAGCCTGTCTGATATTGTGAACATGGTGATGCTGCCCAAGCATGTCTGATATTGTGAACATGGTGATGCTGCCCCAGTCTGTCTGATATTGTGAACATAGTGATGCTGCCCCACCCTGTTTGATATTGTGAACATGGTGATGCTGCCCCAGCCTGTCTGATATAGTGTACATGATGATGCTGATGCTATTTGTCGCCAGTCTGTCGGAGACGTACGAGTTGAAGCGCCAGCAGCACATCAGTGACCTGCAGAAGAAGGAGGAGGAGATGAGGCAGACGTTCGTCATCCGCGTCAAGGAGAAGGAGGCTGAGCTGAAGGAGGCTGAGAAGGAGGTAAGCTGAAGTTGTGGAAGAATCAGTTGTTGTCGCACCAGTCCAGTAGCATGACAGTATAACAGTCACAGTATGATGTGAGTTGAGCTCTTCACTGAGCAATACCCAAGCTGCAGCTCAGCTACCACCAGACACTGTTTCTTAGAGAAATAATTATGATTTGTTTGCAGCAAAATATATTGTGTCTTTACTATCCTTTTATTGTTATACCTCTATTAAGAATCTTTGAATTTCATCGGTTAATCTATACCATGTATGAAACAATAAATTTCAATGCTAACAATAGTAAAAACTGACCCGAAAAGGTTTTAGTCAATTCATGTGACTGACACCAACCTCAATATTTACTTCGTCTGCCATTCAAAATATATGGCATCTGCAAGATGCAAATCCCAGTTCGCAGATCTTTCTTTCAAAAGACTGAAATTAAGCAGTTTCCAAATGAATATCGATACAACAAAACACCTGATTACTCTTAGTGAGTGCAGCTCTGACCTGACTCAGGTCGTCGGTCTGTGTCTTCACATAAAGACCTTGCAAAGAGTATTTTAATACCCCTGACCTTTGAGGTAGGGGGTATATAGTTATACCAAGGTTCCCTCGGTCCGAAAACTTTGTCCGCGCGATTTCTATTCAGTGGATTCATCTCAAACTTAGTACATATAATCTGTGTCATATGGAGGGGTGCAGTCAAAAGTAAAAAGTTGTTTTTATTAATTTTCCATTTTTATATGAATTTTTCAAACCCTAACTCTATCCATTATTACTGACATATACTGACACACTAGGCGGGTCGGGGGTATTAGTGAGCCACGTTCACTTTTGCCCTTGTTTTGGTATATATATTTTTATACAAAAGAGACAACAGTATGTTTCATCAGTAGAATGTCACTTATTTCCAGTAGATCAGACTCATGAAGTTTTAGATATTGTTTTAAAGTGGGGTTCAGGAAATAAATACTTATTACTTTGCAGTCTCTTGGGGTAGGGGTGGGGGAGTCCCCTGGCAGTCAGAAGAACTGGTCTCAATGTCAGAATTTGACAACAATAGATCTTCAAAGATTGATGCCCTGGGAAAATGAACCTACGTTTCTGTTTTCTATATGTCGGGGCTGTATCGTGTATGGTATGATGATGGTTGTGATTACCGCACATCTCAAGCTGTAATCAGGGGCTTCAACCACTCATTTCAAGTCAATAGATCACCATGATTAAACAGTGCAGTCAACAGTCATTGTCTTTTTGAAGAATAATTGAATTATTAACCATTTTGTGACAGGTCACGCTCATTGATTATGGAAAAAGTGAATGAGATAAGCGCGGCAACATTCTTAAACTATGACATCACTGCATAGTAACCTAGTTTCATGATGTCATGTACTGTATTATGTCATCAATGGAGACCGCCTCCGTGGTCTGGTGGTAGAGCGTCCGCCCGGAGAGCGGAAGGTCATGTGTTTGATCCCCGGCCTCGTCATACCAAAAGATGTTAAAAGATGGGACTTGTTGTGACCCCGCCTGGTGCTCGACATGAAGTGGCTAAACGCGTACATGCACGTCACTATATAAGTGCAATAATCTTGGATTCAATGGAATGTTGTGGCATGTTAGAAATTGAAGGAAATCAGTGATTTTGCTGCAGACACGTGTCATGAAGAAATTTAATGATTTCAGCAAATTATGATAACAAATGTGACCAAAAATGCAAAAAATAGCTTCAGGACATTTTAGATGACAATGAGTCAATGATCTGGAAAATAAGCTGATCTGAACCCAGGAAAGAAGTTTGCTAACTTAGAAATAATGACCATTGTATGGAATTGTATTTTACGTGGTAAACATATTTATAAAGTTTTATGCTATTAATGATCATGATGATACTGCGATGCAAAACTGTTAACAAGATTACCCATGTCTCCATAGTAAGTTGTGAATTTGGTGTGTTATTTGACAACTGCACCTAGTGCACAGACACCATTTTATGTTGCCTGAGAACTAAGTATTGTTCAAACACTAACAACAGGAAAATATTATGTCCTTGTAGCTCCATGCTCGGTTCGACTCACTAAAGAAGCAGCATGCAGATGAAAAGAAGAAACTAGAAGATCGGAAGAAACAGTTAGACGATGAGATGAATGTTCTCCAACAAAAGAAAGCTCAATACCAAGCAAACCAATCCACCATGGGCAAGAAGAAGAAGTAAGGGAGATAACTCTCATCTCCACCAGGAGAGGGAGCTGTTGGGAAGGGTTCAAGTCAAGCAGACGGGCAGGTCTGATATTAAAGGTTGAAGATCTGTAGATCTCTACACTGATGATTCAACGAACACAAACATTATTTCCTGACCAGGAAGATCTGTGTATGAATATTTAATTAGCATAGACAGCTAATTAAGATAATAATTTTGCTGGTTTCTTTTATTTCTTTTTATTTTATATTATCCTCCAATCAAATCTATTTTTTAATTACCTTTTTTCGATTCAATTTTCTTTAAACTCAGGATTTTTTATTTTTTTTGTGACTAATATAATATTTGAATAAACACATGCAACATTCTGCATTAACAGGTACATTGACATAAGAGTGTAGAGGCACTGCCCAATTTTCGTTTTCGGTGCTACAGAATGTGCATGCTCAGTGTATACGTGTTTGTTTGTCCCTTTCGTCTTCAGATTGACAGATCATTCAAGACAACATTGCACAGTACCATATCAGACAATTTATTGAACACTACAATTCTGTCTATGCATACATTCAAATATGCTTTGACTTGAATTCCTGCTCAGTTTTTTTACGACCAAGTCAGGCCATACAAACTACATAGTCATGTATTTACTTATTAATGTTAGGTTTTGTATGCATGTTTGTAACACTTCCTTTGTTGGAGTTCCGTCAATGATTTGTAATCACATTTATATTCTTGCCACGGTTAAATGGCTTGTATCAAAGTGCATTTTAATCTTCCAAAGAACATAGTGCTTCTTGTTCTCTTGACATTGCCATGTAACTTATCATGCAAACCCAGAGACTGCATTTGCTGTTGTCTTGAACAGGTATCAAAAACAGGCATAAGGCATACTGTGGATTTGGTTGTATTTTAAGCAGTAGTATTATTTTTGTAAGTTATTTCTCACATTACGTCCTAGGCAACAGAGTGATCATACATGGCAACTTTTTATGCGGCCATCACTGTCACTGTAAATTGTATCTTTATTACCATGGTAACCATATGTCATCGTCTCCTCAGGGCATCATTGTTGTCATGGTTACAATAAACATCATCAAACAAAAGTGCAATATATCTTGAAGCATGTAGCATTGAAATGCTGATACATATGGCAAACTGTCTACTATCTACTATAACTACATTTTTCTGGATGGATGTTGTTGCTTGTTCCTATGAAGAAGACCTTTAAGATGAGGGAGGACAATTTTTAGAGCATATCCACAGAGTTCTGCTATTGTGAAAGTCAGTTTGACCATTTTCTTGATTATGTTTTCATTCTATGCTGGATCGGAAAACCACCGGCGTTTCTATTGGCGTGTTTATGAGCTCCTGGCATCTCTGAAGATTTTATTCATCATGATTTTGCTTTGAAACAGATTCTGGTTTGATCATTGTAAGCTGGAGGTGAAATTCACCACATGTCTTTTGGAATGTTAATAAAATAATTATCATAATGCTTGAAAATAATTTATCATGCTTCAGTTGACAATTATGTTAATGATGCATTGTTAATGTTAAGGTGTAGAGCCTGACCTGTACATTAGAACTGAGGGCCTAAGCGCCGAGCTAAATGGACAGAGACTGACCTTGAAAGTCTTGGTAACATATAAGGGTATCACCTGATTTGCCTAATGTCTTATGTTCTACTAGTCCTGAGGACATCATCAACTGCCAGGCATTCACTGCCTTCTTGGCTTGTGCTAATTTCTATCTTTGAGGCTGGTAGGATGCTCTTTTCAGGATGAGTAGAATAAATTTTTTGTAATTATGAAATACTTGGTGTGCTTTACCATTTACATTTTCTAAAGCATTTTGTGTCATTGGATTCTTCTATTTCAGTGTTTTGTAATTAACTCATGATAAACAATAAGTATCATAATCACTTAAATTTTAAATAATTATTTTCATTATATCATATGTTTGTAAATAGAAATGTGTCCGCACTTCCTCTGGAATAAAACAAGCTCTTCACTTTGTCAGATCTTCACCACACTTAGGGAGTTAAGTTTCAGTTAAGAAACAAATATTATTTTGTAGAAGAGTATTTTTGCAGATATTTAAAAAATTTATTTGCATCCTAAGATGTCAATTCATTTCTGTATTTATGCACTAGGCGTAATGTTATGCATGTGCTTCATTTACCCCCATGTTTGTGTTTTGTACCTACGTTATATCGGACCAACACTATCTACACGTGTGATATCAGCTAGTTTCTCTTCTCTGTAGGCAGGATCCTGTTATGTTATGTCAACTGTGGAAGCTGACAAAGTACAACCAGACTTTCAGACAAGACCCTAAATGTCTTACAGTTACATGTAAGAAATGTAATGTATTGACTTTATGAAGTATCAAATACATAAAAATAAATATGAATCAATTTGATTAGTGGAAGAAGTCATTTTTTAGAAAGGTTTTTTGTTTTGATGAAAACATGAAAGTTGGCAAGCTTAGAAATTTATCAGATCTCATTTGCTCACTACCTTCTGTAATTGTGCTATAATGTTTCTATGACTAATTGTTAATTTTTCTTCAGTGGAATATGCAATAGTGTGTTTGAATCTCAACTTATAAACTAAAATACCCTTACCATTGTGGTCACATACGTGTCGGAATCATGTGAGGAAATGTGTGTTAAGTACTTCATAAGACGTGATAGTAATTTTTTCAAATTGTTTGCAAACAAATAGTTTTCAAAGTAGTTGCAGTAGTTCTATCTGAATAGAATAATTTCAATTAACTTTATGATGACACAGCATGCATTTTATAAATAAACTTTTTACTTATGTGCCAAAATTGTGTTGGAGTCATTATTGAAGAACAAGATGTCTCATGAAGTGGGATCTGCTGACTGCGACTAAGGGTGGAACTTCCTGGGAGGGAGTCCGTTGTAATCCATGTACAGCTATTTGAGTGGATGTTGTTTAGATGCAGATTCTGTATGTATCAAGCCAGCTTGTACATGCAAATGTGTGTTCCAACCAGGGTATTATAAATGTTCCCTGGCAGTTTTCTTTTGTGAAGATCAAGATTTCTGTATAGAGGTAGTCAAGACATGAAACCTAATTGTTTTAGAAAGCCACTCATCCTTTTAATAGGTTGGGTGGTGCCAGATCGCTCAAGGATTCACAAGACTATGGAGGGGCGGTCGGGTAGCCTAGTGGTTAAAGCGTTGGCTCGTCACGCCTAAGACCCTGGTTCGATTCCCGACATGGGTACAATGTGTGAAGCCCATTTCTGGTGTCCCCCGCCGTGATATTGCTGGAATATTGCTAAAAGCGGCGTAAAACCATACTCACTCACTCACAAGACTATGGAGGTGTCATCAGATCTCAATGCAGAGAGGTATCCTATGAGAAAGAGATCTGATTTTAGTGAGATTGGAACCTCCAATCAGGAAGGATGACATACATTCAGACAAGTGACAGAATCTCACCTACTGATCCACATTTTAAGTCCACTCTGACAATCAGTGACTGGTCATTTATTGTAGGGGTGGGGAGTGTTCACAGGGAATCAGGGGAGGGCCACCAACCAATATGACAGTCTCCAGGGCAGAGTTATAACAGTTATCATTTATGGGGAGGGTCATGAAAAAAACGTACAAGGACATAGGGTCGGACATCCAACCTCAGCAGACCACCTCCGTGGTCTAGTGGTAGAGCGTCCGCCCGGAGAGTTTGATCCCCGGCCACGTCATACCAAAAGACGTTAAAAGATGGTACTTGTTGTTACCCTGTCTGGTGCTCGGCATTAAGGGGTTAAAACAAGGACTGGTCGGCTCGGAGTCAGTACACTGTGTCTGAGTGGGGTATTCATGTTAAACTGCGGCATGGTATCTCAGTGTGCTGGCACTATAAATCGGCATCAGTCCGGACTAGTACAAGCAGCCACACACACGTGCATGCACGTCGCTATATAAGTGCAATAATCTTGGACTCGATGTTAAACCCCATTTCACCTCAACACCTCCAACCTCAGCATCAGCGGCTGGGGACCTGTGCTGAACCAGTATTACCACAGGGCAATAAATATACACTTTACGAGAAAAACAACAACTCTAGAATCTCCTACAATATTTACGAAAGGAATCTGCCCTTTTAGCCAATACTTCAAGCCAAGTCAGATAGACTTGGTTGAGATCTAGTTATTTCACCAGAACATACACTAAGACTAGAATCATATAAAAAATGTTGCCAATACAGTAAAGTACGGTTATAACGAACTCAAAGGGACTACTAATTTTAGTTCGTTATAAGCATATATACAGCATAACTACTGCAAATAGTCGGGACCAAAAAAGTAAGTTCGTTATAAGCGTGTTCGTTATAACCGTACTTTACTGTATATAATTTGAGGTCAGTGAAATGAAACTGTTTGACACCCTGCATCAGGGTCACTGTCAAGCTCCTCACAGCGATAGTACGTTCCCGGAGCTCTCTATACTATCGCGATGTTACCGAGAGTGTAACGAAGGTGTCACGCGCTGGGAAGGAGCTTGGGTCACTGTGATGAACGGGAGACAACTCAACGTCGCTTGTAGTGCTGATTTTTGCAACACATCTAATATCTATTAATTACTCTTACATACAAGTAGGTGTGAGTTATAGACTTTCTCACAAGCACGAAGCCACGGCCTTTGTGTAAAACCATGCCCTTTGTATTTTCTGCAAATCACGGTCCAAAGGACCAGCATTGAAGTTGATTCCGGAAGTAGCCCCCTCTCTGTTGATGATAAGTTGTAGAGACGTATGATAGCCGTTCTCGGAGCTGTCTATACTGAAAAGTAGCCGCCATTATTGTTAGATAAGAAACGATTAGCTCTGATATTGGAATAGAAAACATCTTCTAAATTACAAAACGCCCACTATACCTGTCCTCCGAGAATATCCCGTGAAACAACTGGCCACATAAAGAAGTGTCGAACTTAAAGGTATAACCCCCTTATCTTAAACAACCTTTTCCAGTGATGGGAATAGAAATAACGAATAGCAGACATTGTTGAATACAGGGTATTCATTGCCGTGTACCGTATTTACATTTGATAGACTATTCACGATTTTCAGTTATTTGTGAATTCATCGTTCTCTTTTGGAGTCATACCGACTGTACGTTACGGAGTTAGAGGACTCAGAACGAGACGTCATCACCCGCTTCCGGCGTGGTCAAGCCTTTGGCATTGCAGATAGAGAAGCGGCCAACCCTTAAAAGGCGACTTATTTAAGGAGTAACCCCTCCTCAAAGTAGAACAAAGCATAAACATATTTTTATTTAACAGGCGGCTGATGACGTGGGAAGCTTTTCCCATGAACGGGAGGGGGGGCGGTCGGGTAGCCTAGTTGTTAAAGCGTTCGCTCGTCACGCCGGGTTCGATTCCTGACATGGGTACGATGTGTGAAGCCCATTTCTGGTGCCCCCCTCGTGATATTGCTGGAATATTGCTAAAAGCAGCGTAAAACCATACTCACTCACTCACTCACTATGAACGGGAGGGCGATGCGGAAGGACACAGATTCGGGTTTAATGGTCTGTGTGTGGAATGGATTACAGAGGAGATGACTTTGTCAACGAGATTGGGTGGATAATTGTTGAGGTTGAGTGAAGACTTGGCGGAGGTGTTCGATTTATTTCAGTTCTGAGGATATGGCTGAAGTGCATGATCGGTGTGGGTTGACTTCCGATAGACACTGGTTTGGATTCTGTTGTTTAAGGTTCTGGAGACAAGGACATCCAGGAAGGTTAGGTGTCTGTTAAGATGTTGTTGTAGCAGGGTTGGGTCTGGGTCTTGTTTAAACCTACGGGAGTAGTTTATAAAATCGAATGTAACTGTGGACAATAGGTGAAACTTTCCACCCCATATATTCGTGTAATCTGCTTCCACCAATACTTAATCTCTGACCATAAGATATGATACAATGATGAATTGAAAAGTCGTCAAATGATGAATGCATTTTGTATATTCATTCTTGTAATTTTCTCTGTAACCAGTAAGAACAAAATATTCGTGAAGGTCTAGGCTAGATAACATTGGGTGTAACAGCTAAATAGCGGTGAAAATTATATGAATAGACCACTGAAAATCAATGGAAAAGGCAAGTATGTCCTGCCCTACCGGTAACAGCTGCCACTCACAATTTGCATAAAAAGGTAAGTGTTGTATGTGGCCTTCCATGGGATGGATGTCTGTAAACAAACCAGAGAATCAAGTAATGGACTAGACAGAAAATTCAGTGACACGAACTGCATTACTGTTTCTGTGGAAACTAAAAACCGATATGTTAATTTTTAATTGTGTCTACTGTGTACAGGTGCTGAAGTGTGTTTCGGACGCAGCATGGCTACAAATATACACCATTTTGTTTTATGCCACGAGTAAATATATCTCGGTTATAGCTTGGTCATATTAATTTGTTGATACTTTTAACCAATTTTGGCAGTCTTGTGAAACCGAACTGTACGCTTTTTGTGGTCTAAGTGTTTTTTGTCTTATGAAGAATCAATGTAATTAGAAACATAATCATAATTAATAGAGCACTCTTTGGATATTGTTTTTTGTTTGTTTGTTGTTTAACGCCGTACTCAGCAATATTCCAGCCATATGACGGCGGTCTGTAAAATAATCGGGTCTGGACCAGACAATCCAGTGATAATATCATGAGCATCGATCCACGCATTTGGGATCGATGACATGCATCAACCAAGTCAGCGAGCCTGACCCCCAGATCCCGTTAGTCGCCTTTTACGACAAGCATAGTCGCCTTTTACAGAATGCATGGGTTGCTGAAGACCTTTTCTACCCCGGAATCTTCACGGGCCCCTTGGATATTGAGAACAATAGTGTATTCATAAATATTCTGATTTAAATGTTAGATTCTGAGGTTAACGTACCTTTATGTGTCTTAAGATTGAGTCCACATTATCATCTGCTTGATCATTTGTGATGGACCAGTTATTATTTCGTTGTGCACATTTTTTGTTTGTTTCTTCGTATATTCTATAGGGTTTTACCAAGCATAACCAGGACCAGTGATGTTAGTTGTAATTAATACATAAACAGTTTAAAAACTGCACACTGCCATCCCATGATAAGACGTGTCGGCTAATTTTGATATATCAAATGGCTGATTGTACTAATAATACATTGCGGTTCATTCTCCAATAATTGGAAAATGAAAATAGACCGAAATTAACAATGTTTCGGCTTACTTTTACTAACATTTCCTATACTATGTGTAAACTATCACATAAAACATCAAAAGGAAAACTCAATGCACACACTACCTTTTTATGGGACTCTATTTGATTTTCTCTATTTTTACTACAGAAATTTCGCATTTTGACCCAAAAACAGTATCCGCCACCAAACATTTGATCACAACCGTCATTTACTAGTCCGCCGGATACAGAAACATAAGAAAATCTAAGTTTGCTTTGTTCTACTATGGGGAGGTGTATGTCTTCTTTTTGAGGGTCTGGGTGCCGTTGTACAAAACCTTAGCGCTTCGACTGTCGTAAGTCCATGTTAAGGTATGCGAGTAACGGTAACCTTAGCACTAAGATCGCTTTGTACAACAGCACCCTGGACACCGTGAAAGGCGACTAAGCTTGTCGTAAGAGGCGACTAACGGGGTCGGGTGGTCAGGCTCGCTGACTTGGTTGAAGCATGTGATCGATCCCAATTGCGTGGATCGATGCTCATGATGTCGATCACTGGATTGTCTGGTCCAGACTCGATTATTTACAGACCGCCGTCATATAGCTGGAATATTGCTGCGTGCAGCAAGCAGCAGGTCTACGAGCAAGACGTCCTGTTCGACGCGTCATATTGAGTCGACAACATCGTCAACAACGACTGCTTTGGTGTCGTCAACACAGGGTATGGCCTCAAATGCGATGGCGAGATGTCTGGTTCAGCGACGAATCTAGATTTCACCTCCGTCGAGGGGATGGAAGAGCACGGGTCTAGAGACGTCGGGGAGAACGTTACGCCGGAAACTGCGTACAGGAAGTGAACAGGTTTGGTGGCCGTAGCGTTATGATGTGGGCGGCTATCTCTCATCAAGGCAGGTCTATATCCAGGACAATATTAGGGCTCAACGATACATCAACGAAATTCTCCTACCACACGTCCTCCAAATTGCAGCCAACGGCAACGCTGTATTCCAGAAGGTCAACGCTCGACCGCATACAGCACGGATCACAATAGCCTGTCTACACAACAACAACGTTGATGTTCTCCCCTGGCCCTCCCGATCCCTGGATTTGAACCCGATAGAGCACCTGTGGGATAAATTGGATAGATGGCTACGCCGACGTCAACCACAAACCCAGAAGTTGCAGCAGTTGGCTTTTGCGTTGCAGGCCGCGTGGGCTGCCATTCCCCGGGATGTGATTCGCATACTCGTCTCTTCCATGGGCAGGAGATGTCAGGCCTCTATCGATTCCAACGGGGGACATACGCGTTATTGATGGTAGCTGACCTTCACCTTGGACTTGTCCTATGTACCGATAACTGACATGACTACTGTAGATGACAGAAAGGCACTATTCTTTATTTAGCGGTATGCGGTTGAATGGCTTGGCTTGGACAGGGGTGGTAACTGCGGGTGGATGGTATATGAGAAAAAGCATGCGGGGTGGCGTGAAATTTGAAAGTGTGCATCGCTGTGAGTGATAATCTGATGTACGGCTGTTGTCAACGCTATGATTCTGCCACGAAATTTGTAAGTAATACATTGCATATGCATGCATGATATATTTATTTATGAAAGGGGTGTAATTTAATATATTGTTCGTTTAAAGCCAGAATTATTTGAGAGTTACCACCGTGTTGTGACGTGTGCATGTTATTACCGTATTTACCGTATTTTTGGATTATTACGGAGTAAGTTTGTATTGTGACAAGCTAGCTGTGTTTCGGACATGAGAATATGCAAGTAAGTTTGTTGTTTTGTATGGTTTCAGCTTGAACCTGCTTCGTATGGTATACGTTGAACATTGACTGTTTGGATCACAGAATAAAGCAGTGTGTGAGAAAATGCAGAATCTGATGTTTATTGACTTTTGAAACCCACATTTAGTTCAAGAAATTTCCACGATTGTGATTAAAGGAAAATAGCTGTGGAATCTGTGAATAATGGCATTTAAAGGCGATGATGGAGATGGTGCTATTGCTGAAGCAATAAGGCATTATCGACAGGAAAGAGGTGGTATTAAAGCTGCTCTTACAAGCAAAATGAAAAAAATTAGAGACTTGATGAACTCTGACAATGTTGGTGAAGTTGAATCTACATTCAGGATCATAAAGCACACTTTAAATAAATTATGGATTAAGAACACTGAATTGCTTGAATCTGTGGTAAATAATCCAGATGAGATTGTTGATGCTAAAAGATATATGGCTGAAGTTCAGGCTAATTATGATGAGCTGAAAAATGATCCGAAAGTTTGGTTGGATACACAAGTAGGAAAGCTAGATGACATTCAACCAGGTGATTCGGTAAGCCAAACAGGTAAAAGTTCTGTGTTAACTTCAAGTTCCAAAATGAAACTGAAAGCCAAAAAGGCTGCTTTACTAGCGAAAGCTGATATGTTAGAGAGACAACAATCACTCAAGAGACAGCAAGCTGAGATACAGCTAGCACAAGAGAAACTAGAACTAGAGTGTGAAATACATGCAACAGAGGCTGAAGAAAAGGTATATGAAGATTTTGAAGCTGAACTGACTCAAGGGTCACATATTCACAAGCGAGAAGGGCCTCTAAAGGGATTTCAGAATAAGACTTTTGACCAAAGACATACATCTCTTAATCCATTAGCTGGAACATGGATTAACAAAGCTCCAGCAGATAATATGCATCATAGCTCGGGTATATCAGGACATGTGCACACCAATGATGAAAACTTTCAGTCACATCAGTCCGACTCAAATGTCTGGCTTATGCAACAGAAGATACTAGAGGTAGTGCAGTTACCAAAAAGTGAGTTGATCAAATTCGATGGTGACCCATTGAGATACTGGATGTTCATAAGGTCATTTGAAACCAATGTTGCTCAAACATCAGTTAGTAGTGGTGCAAAGCTGAATCGATTGCTGAACTATTGTACAGGCAAGGCTTTGTCAGTGATTGAATGCTGTTCAGTCATGGATCCTGATGAAGGATATATGGAAGCCCTGAGCCTTCTGAAGACACGATTCGGAAGAGAGCATGTGATAGCAAATGCGTGGGTGAAGAAGATTAGCGAAGGTCCATGGTTGCGACCTACTGACGTTGAAGGCTTGCGTAACTATGCAGATGATCTCAGGAGTGGTATGCTGACATTAAAGGCAATGGGCAAAGTGAATGAAGTGGACAATCAGATACGCATGGTGAAGATTGTGTCAAGGTTACCAACCTATCTCCAAGGAAGATGGAGGAGGAAGGCAGTTGAACACCTGGAAGCAACAGGTGACTATCCTGGTATAGGACAGCTGGTCGACTTTGTACTGCGAGCTGCCGAAGAAGCAAATGATCCCATATTTGGAGTAGTATCTGGAAACAGACTAAAGGATGATACAACACAGAATAGACCAAGATCCTTTGAGAAGAAAGGTGTCAACTACAGTGTGCAAACAAGTGTGTACAATAAACACTCTTCAGATTCATTTTCAGGTTTTCCAATACCAAATTGTCCATTGTGCAGTGGCGAACATGCACTCTTCATGTGTGGGAAGTTCAGGGACCTGAAACCTGAGAAGAGACATGAGTTTGTTGTTGAAAAGAGACTATGCTTCAACTGTTTTTCGAATAACCACATGTCAAGAGACTGTCATAAGCCCAGCAAGTGTCAGGTGCAGGGTTGTATGAGAAAGCATTCAAGATTGATACATCTCCTGGCGAAACCAGAAACTGATGTTCATCAAACATATCTAAAGGAGAGAAACCTGAGCTCAACAGTGCCTAAACAAGATAAACCATTAAGGGTTGAAAGTTCTGCGTGCAATGTTGTAACTCAAGGACCAAGGGTAGCTCTTCCTGTGGTAAGACTCCAAGTCTCGGTGAAGACTGGTAACAGAAAGATATGGACATATGCTCTGCTTGACAGTGGAAGCACAAACTCATTCTGCTCCAATGAACTATTTGATGAACTTGGAGTAGATGTTTCTGAAACATCACTATTGTTGACTACACTGGAGAAAGTGAACAGCACAACGAGTACAAGGGTAGGATCACTATTGATAACGGATGCAGGGAACAGGACAACCATAGAACTTTCACACGTATTTGGGACCATAAATCTGTCCATTTGTGCATGTGATTCTGTCAAACAGCAGAACGTTGATGAGTGGCAGCATTTGAAGGGTATGGACTTTCCTAAAGTGGACAGAGTGCATGTGGGTCTCATCATTGGTCAAGATGTTCCAGTGGCGCTGACACCTATTGATGTGCGAAAGGGAAATGACAATGAACCTTATGCCGTGAAAACAGTGCTGGGTTGGGTTCTGAATGGACCATTGAGAGTTGTCAGAAATGGTGAAGTCATCTCACATTTTGTCGATATTGATCAAAGACTTGATGCGCAAGTTGAAAGATTCTGGAAAATAGAAAGGTGTGAATCATTGTCAAACAGCACATGTGAAATGTCGCAGGATGACAAAAGGACAATTGAGATATGGGATGAGTCTGCAGAAGTTGTGGATGGTCACTATGAAATAAAAATTCCATTCAGGAGCAGGCCTCCGAATGTAGAGAATAACTACATCGTTGCCGAGAGTCGTCTTGAATCACTTTGCAAACGCTTGTCAAAGGATGACAAGTTGTTTGAAAAGTATCAGTCGGGAATCAAGGAATTGATCGACAAAGGCTATGCTGAAAAGGTAAAGGAACAGGATATCAACAAGCCAGGTAAAGGTGTATGGTATATTCCTCATCACGCAGTTATCAACGAACGTAAACCAGACAAGTTACGAATTGTTTTTGATTGTGCTGCAAAGTATTGTGGAACTAGTCTGAATGATCAAGTCTACCAGGGCCCAGACCTTACGAACAAGTTGATAGGAGTGTTGTTGCGATTCCGTGAAGGTCCCATAGGTATTATGGGGGACATAGAAGGAATGTTCCATCAGGTGAAGGTACCAGAATGTGATCGAGACTATCTAAGATTTCTGTGGTTCTCAGAAGGGGGAAACAATCAACCAGAAGTCTACCGCATGACTGTGCACTTATTTGGAGGGGTGTGGAGCCCAAGCTGTGCAAGTTATGCACTTAGACGCACTGCAGAGGATAATAGTGCAACTTATGAACCTAAGGTTGTGCAGACTGTTCTTGAAAACTTCTACGTAGATGACTGTCTCAAGTCATTAATGTCAGAAATTGAAACAATTGAACATGTTCAAAATTTGTGTTCACTTGTATCACATGGGGGATTCAAGTTGAACAAGTGGATCAGCAACAGCAGAGAAGTGCTTCGATCCATTCCTGAAGAACAGACAGCAAAGGGGGTTAAAGGAGTTGACCTTATTGGAGGTACATTACCTAAAGAAAGAGCTCTAGGGGTTCTTTGGGACACCGAGAACGACGTCTTTGGTTTCAGAATTACAATAAAGAATAAACCAGACACAAGAAGAGGATTAATGAGTGTGATTGCGTCGGTGTATGACCCATTGGGATTTGTTAGTCCATACATTCTTCAAGCAAAGAAGGTTTTCCAAAGTGAAACAAGACTGCACAAAGGCTGGGATGAACTGTTGAATCAAACAAACAGTGTGAAATGGACAAAGTGGGTAGAAGACTTGCCCAAACTGGAGAACTTTAAGTTGTCCCGATGCGTGATCACTCAAGCATCAGAAGATGGAAGCTATGAACTTCATCACTTCTCAGATGCTTCGTGTGAGGGATATGGTGCAGTATCCTACCTTAGAGTGGTAAATAACGATGGGCCAGTTCAATGTTTTTTACTCATTAGCAAGTCCAGGCTGGCACCATTGAAGCAAATGACCATACCGCGTTTGGAACTATCAGCTGCAGTCATTTCAGTAAAGCTGGACGTGATGCTTCGTCAGGAGCTGAAAATGGAAATTAGTAGATCAGTATTCTGGACAGACAGTACAATTGTGATACAGTATATCAGGAATGAAAACAAACGCTTTCATGTGTTCATAGCAAACAGGATAGCTCTTATCCGTGAGAGTTCAGAGCCAAACCAATGGAGACATGTGGGCAGTACAGAGAACCCTGCTGATGACGTGTCACGGGGGCTGGATGCAGACAAAATGGTGTCCTCTGACAGATGGAAACATGGTCCTGAGTTTCTGTTTCAAGCAGAGTCTGAATGGCCCACAAGTACCAATCTCAGTCTAGAAATTCCTGATGGTGACAAGGAAGTGAAGAAAGCCACAACAACTTACACAACTGTGACGAATGGCTGCAGAGATCTGTTGTTTGACTTGTTTGAAAAATACTCCACGTGGCACAGCCTAAAACGAGCTGTAGCATGGATCCTGAGATTAAAAGGAATTCTCTATAATAGGACTCACAAGAAAAAGCAATCTAAAATGCTGGATAGTGTGCTCAGTGTATTGGAGCTGAAGAATGCTGAGACTGCGATAGTTCAAGTGTTGCAGAGGAAAACATATGAACAGGAGTTGAAGGCACTTGAAGCTGGGAAGCCAATTGCAAGAAGTAGTACCATTTATCGACTGGAACCAATGTTTAGTCCAATGGGTGTCTTGTGTGTTGGTGGAAGGCTGCGAGCAGCACCTGTACCTGTTGAGAGCAAGCACAATATGATTCTGCCAAGGGATAGTCATGTTACTACCCTAATTGTCAGACATTACCATGAAGTCTGTGGACATTCAGGCAAAGAGTATGTGTTGTCCCTTATCAGACAAAGATTCTGGATACCTAAAGGAAGGAAGTTAGTGAGCAAACTTCTGAACAGTTGTGTTGATTGCAAAAGACGTCAGAAGTCGCCGAATAACCAAAGGATGGCGGACCTGCCTAGAGACAGAGTGAGTCCAGGAGATCCAGCATTCACCAGTGTCGTATTGGACTGCTTTGGGCTATTTATGGTGAAACGGGGCCGGTCTGAGGTCAAACGTTATGGATGCATCTTCACATGTTTGACAACAAGGTCAATACATCTAGAAAAGTTGGATGGATTGGATACAGATTCTTTCTTGAATGGATTTGTAAGATTCATATCACGTCGAGGATGTCCGAAGACAGTTCGATCAGACAATGGAACAAATTTCCGTGGTGCAGAAATTGAATTGACACGAGCTATTGATGCCTGGAATTTGAAGAGAATTGGAGAGTTCATGAGCAAAAAGGAAATCTGTTGGATGTTTAACCCTCCTGCAGCTTCTCACATGGGAGGTGCTTGGGAGAGACTCATAAGGACAGTTCGTAAAGTCATGAATGCTTTGTTGAGGACGAACCGTCCACTGGATGATGATGGTCTTCATACTCTTTTTAGCGAGATTGAGTCGATTGTGAATGGCCGACCAATCACAGTGGTATCAGATGATCACAAAGATGCTGAACCTCTGACTCCTAACCATCTTCTGTTACTTAGAGCAGGTCCTGATTTACCTTTGGGAAGTTTCCAAGCAGCAGATGCATATAGAAGACGCTGGAAACATGCTCAGTTCCTGGCGGACATATTTTGGAAACGCTGGACGAAGGAATATATGCCTTCACTACAATTACGTCAGAAATGCTTACTGCCAAAGAGAAACATTATGGTGGGTGATATTGTGCTAATTCTGAATGAGAATTGTCTCCGGAGAAGTTGGCCTTTGGCAAGAGTCGTGGAAACCTATCCAGGAAAAGATGGACTAGTACGCAGCGTTATGGTTCGTACAGGAGGTTCTACGCTAACCAGACCTGTTGACAAGTTATGTCTGTTGGAAGGAGTCCATGAGTGACTTACCTTTTTCATCCTTTTGTGAAGTAGACATTGATTACTAAGGGTGACCAGTATTTGTGTTCAGAAACTGTTTTGTGAAAGATTAATTGTGTTCTAGTTTATTAAATGCGCGATTAACATGTCGTTTCTCTGCGCATTTAAGGGGCCGGAATGTAGATGACAGAAAGGCACTATTCTTTATTTAGCGGTATGCGGTTGAATGGCTTGGCTTGGACAGGGGTGGTAACTGCGGGTGGATGGTATATGAGAAAAAGCATGCGGGGTGGCGTGAAATTTGAAAGTGTGCATCGCTGTGAGTGATAACCTGATGTACGGCTGTTGTCAACGCTATGATTCTGCCACGAAATTTGTAAGTAATACATTGCATATGCATGCATGATATATTTATTTATGAAAGGGGTGTAATTTAATATATTGTTCGTTTAAAGCCAGAATTATTTGAGAGTTACCACCGTGTTGTGACGTGTGCATGTTATTACCGTATTTACCGTATTTTTGGATTATTACGGAGTAAGTTTGTATTGTGACAAGCTAGCTGTGTTTCGGACATGAGAATATGCAAGTAAGTTTGTTGTTTTGTATGGTTTCAGCTTGAACCTGCTTCGTATGGTATACGTTGAACATTGACTGTTTGGATCACAGAATAAAGCAGTGTGTGAGAAAATGCAGAATCTGATGTTTATTGACTTTTGAAACCCACAACTACAATCACCACCAAGTGTTCTCTCCACAACATTTTAGCTTGTACGGTTCCTCGTATAAATGTATTTTCCTACCTCACACAAATCTGGCTTTGCGTTTCATTTTTTGAAGAGCATATTTAGGTGAGCTACATATCACAGTGGGCTCATGCTTAGATAGATACTTCTATCAGGACACAATGCCAATAGAATCCCCAAACTAACCGTGCAGATATCCCTGAATGTTGTATTGTTATCTATTTAAACGCAATGGGACATTGTAATTATTCTTTAAACGAATAATGGATTATACTGTTATAATGAGTTATAATGACTAGTTATAGGACATGCACATATATAATGCTATACATGGAATTACCATGCTAATTTATGCAAATATATAATGTATTGATGCCAAAATATAATTTGCCATACATATATTTCATTTTTTGTTATCATCGTCCAACCATCCGTGTAGGCCTACACACTAACCATGCTACAAACACAAATGAAGTCAAATGATTTCCAAACTTTGAACATAAACATCACAGCCAACAGAAGTTGTTCTATAGCCTATTATGATTATGTTTAATGAACTGAACTTGCCAGTACTTGTTATCACATTGTTGTGAACATGTTTGTGTGAACAGTCTCGGGCCTGATGTACGCCTCTCCGTGGTGGGCCTAGATAGGTAGGTAGGATCTAATTCCCTGAACTAAACGTGCATCACCCAGTTAGGGCGAATGGCCAGAAATACCGCGAATAAATGGTCAATTATCGAAGCAGCATCGGGACAAAACTATGCCAATGTATGCAAACCTGACAGAGCAGAATCTTCGTGACCAGCTCCGGCGCCTGAACCGTGAGTTAGGTGAGCTAACTGCCAAAACTCGTCCGGAGGTGAGCCAACTGCCAAAACTCGTCCGGAGCCTTTGCAAATGGACGTTCGCATTGTTCTCCCGAAATTTCCTGATGCTGTTGGTATTAATGTCCAACTCATGGGATCACAAAATGAAATCCTTGATGTTGGCCTCGAATATATTGAGTTTCACCCCTATTCTGACACTTCTTCTGTCAATGATCTTTCTGATGATTCCTTGTATAGATTCCTTTATTAGTGTCATTATATAATCACTTCTGTGATTTACCGATTGAGAAAAGAAGGCCAATAAAACAATTTAAGCAATCATTTCCACAGAATCAATTATTTCTGTTACTCTCAATACGGACTGTTCTTTGCGTGACATCAACTGTTGCGTGTTTGCTGCTGCTCGAACACAGGAGGAAGTTTTCAAAGATATTGAATCACAAAAGGGTAATAAACAAAATCGTAAATAAAAAACCCGGTTCCATGTAAAACTAACTGAAACAAGGAAAGATATATGCTGGATAGAACTTTGCTTGGAAATATGTTCCTCAGGCCAATCCATGGCAAAACGCCAAAAATCTATTTGGAAAAAAATTAAAAACAAAAGAGATAATTCGAAATCAAATTCTTGATTCTCTGAAGGCAAAGTTAAAGGTTTGGACAGAAAGAAAAAGAAAGCGGGACAAGAAAAATAATTTCATAAACAAATAATGTCTTCAAATTTAATGAAAAACATTTTTACAGGCCATTAAATGCAACCAATGACAGAGATTAGAAAAGACCCACCATGGATACCAGTGAAAGGTTTGGGAAACAGTTGTGGTCCATACCCGGCAACTGTAACCTTGAGGAACCATGGGTAGAGGATTGCAATGATATTGTACATGAAAAAATAAGGCCACCATTGTTGTCTTTCATTACATCTTATTGCCTGAAGAATGTACTTAAAAAGGCCAAATCTAATACGGCGCCAGGGCCTCATGGTATTCGAAACCGGTATTAGAAACTGTTTCCTTGTGTCCAAACACCATCACTTCACTGTTTTAGTTCTCTTGTGCATACAGGGGATGTTCCGCCTTGGTTGTGCAAAGGTCGAACAACACTTCTCCCAAAGAAAGATCATTTAACTGATCCCACAAACTTCCGCCCTCTTACTTGTCTGCTGTACAATACAAAATATTTACAGGGTGTCTTAAAGATCTTGTGTCATCATACTGCGCTTCCAATAGCATTATTTACATGGAGCAGAAAGAGATGTTTGTAAGGATCAATTGCTGGTTCAGGGAATGATCCTTGAAGAGGCTGAAATGTACCACCGTAACCTCTCAATGTGTTGGATAGACTTTAGAAAAGCTTATGATTCGCGAATGGATTTTGAAGTCACTGGAATCTATTGACATCCCTGAGCGGTTACTTGTTTTAACTCGTATTTAATGAATTGCTGGTCAACTCAAATCCTGGACCTCCTCAGCACAGATCACCAACACCCCTGACTCACCTCCTTGACATGGATGACCTTGAACTTCTTGCCAAGGGAGAATCCACTTAAACAGATTCTTATTGTCGAGTCCTTTTCTAATGATATTGGTATGTCCTTTGTACTCGACAAATGCAACATTCTTCATCTGAATCGTAGCATGGTAGTAGTGGGAGGATCAGTCAGTTTACTTGCGGAAGGAGTTATTGACCATCTCTTGGAAGGTCAGGCCTATACTTACTTAGGGATGCATGTTAGAGACAAACTCCAGAATGCCCGTATCAAGGTAAAACTTCAAATGAAGACTTAAGAAAATCTGGAGTTGAGAGCTGAACGCTCGCAATAAAGTCAAAGCCACAAATACTTAGGCTGTACCCGTCCTCTCGTATTTTTTGGGTCTTGTTGACTGAACGAAACAAGATATTCAGGGTATTGACAAACACACACGATGAATCATGTCAGACAATAGATCCCACCACTCTCGCTTAAATTTACCAATAATAATGGGAGGGTGTGGTTTGTTTAACATGGAGGCTCTTCATAATAGAATTGTATTGTGCACTTTTTGCACACATTTATTTGTCTGGGACATAATCTCAATGTCAATGTTGATTTTGTTGATGGTTTTGTACTGCTGGGCGGCACAGAAATAAGGTGTCAATGAGTTATTATTATTATTCACTTAATAAATTGTAAATTATAAACAAGATTGGATAATTTCTTTAATATTCACCCTGAATAATTTGCGCATCAATTCGTAAGCGACGATTGTAAGTGATCCACGAGTTATATTCCTGGCACCCAATAGGTTGGAGGATGGTCATCAACCCCTGACACGCCAAGGCGCAATTTCATTAAAATCAGATCTTAGTTTTCGCTAGGCCTGAACAAAGATCTGAGGACATCCCATTACGGATCACGTCAGAGCGACCTTTCGCCAAATTTGACCAACCAATGAAATGACTAAGAAGGAGTCGACATGGGCCAATCGGAAAGCAGATTTCTCAGGCTTTATGGCACTAACAAATGTTATTTTTGGGATAACACTTTCTTAGTGAAGTACATATTCTAGTACTTTTGGGGGTTGAGGCCAATCCAGCATTCGAACCCACACACTCAGAGTGAGGCACCTAATCGCAAGCACACAAAGTTAACGATCTAACCCACTCAGCCACCGAGGCTTCCACAATAAATGGGGATGGTCGGGTAGCCAAGTGGTAAAAGCGTTCGCTCGTCACGCCGAAAACCCGGGTTCGATTCCCGACATGGGTACAATGTGTGAAGCCCATTTCTGGTGTCCCCCGCCGTGATATTGCTGGAAATTGCAAAAAGCGGCGTAAAACGATACTCACTCACTCACTCCACAATAAATGGAAATCCGACAACTGGTAGCCTAGATCACATACTTCGTGTACCCCTGACTACAGGTCCGTTTGGCTCCAAATGAGAACGATAAATCGCAAAATAACTGAAAATAGGGAATAGTCTATTGAATGTCAATACAGTACACGGCAATGAATATCCTGTATCCAACAATATCTGCTGTTTGTTATTTTTATTCCCATAACTAGAAAAAGCTGCTTAAGAAACTATCATGTTGTTATGTGTAGAAATTGACGCTTTGAATGGATGGGGCACGACGGTAGAAGGAACAGCGCAAGACGCGCGTGCTACAAAACGGTACAGGGAATGACATCAGAGGGGTCGTCTCATGATAATGTTAATCGCGATCTGACTCGTTCATGTCACACCCCTCGTCGTCTGAGTTGCTTGTGTCACTGCTGATGGTCACAACTACAGGGGGACTGTTGCTTGCTGAAGTCCACCGCGTCACCATCTTGACTCTCTCTCGTTGACGACTTTGGTTACGCAACGCTGCCATGATTCCACTGTTACCCGACCAAGGGATTCCGGAGTTTAAAAGTTGTGTCCAATCGTCCAACGTCACCTTTGACGACACCCCATATCAACTCTGTTGGGTTCTGATCGCAGTGGTGAGGGGAAGTGAAGACGGGGTGACCTTGACCTTTCATGAAATTGTCAACCATATACACGGGCTCAGGTTAGTTAGATTTGATGATTTCATAGAGTTGTGGTTTTGTAGACTGGAAGGAAAGATTATATTCATCTGTTGCAGCCACGTCACAATATCTCCTTCAAGGCTATCAGACTTCAAGACCTTGCTGTCCGGATCTTGTATATTGTAGAGAGTTTCAGGGGGAGAGCTTCGTGTAGAGAATTTCAGAAGTTCAGAAATGCTCCCGTCTTTTAAGAAGCTGAAACCAAGCTTGCAACGCGTTTGCCCGACACCTCCCGATTCCAAAGACATGGATGGACATAATTTTACAACAAAACACTTTAATAATACCATATCTCCATACACTAAAGTTACTTTTGAAATAATATTTTTGATATGAAATAAAATATCCGAGTGAAGCGCCCCAGAAAAAGAAAGTTTACACTTGAAAATTGGATTTGACCATAAAATTACAAACGATAACGATAACGTGATAACGTACTAGGCTGCATGTCCAGTATCTGTGAACCAACGCAACTGTTCATCACAATACCTCGTTACTCTGCTCAATACACCACCTTAAAAAACCGCCTCCATGGTCTAGTGGTAGAGCGTCCGCCCGAAGAGCTGAAGATCCGGGGTTCGATCCCCGGCCGCCTCATACCAAAACACGTTAAAAGATGATACTTGTTGTTACCCTGTCTGGCGTCGGCATTAAGTGGCTAAAACAAGGACTGGTCGACCCAGTCAGTATACTGTGTCTGAGTGGGGTATCCATGTTAAACTGCGGCATGGAATCTTCGTCCGGACTAGTACAAGCAGCCACACACACACACCTGCATGCACGTCGCTATTTAAGTGCAGTAATCTTGGACGCGACGTTAAACCCCATTTCACATCATCTTCAAACAACCAGGGGCGGTCGGGTAGCCTAGTGGTTTAAGACTTGGGTTCGATTCCCGACATGGGTACAATGTGTGAAGCCCTTTTTTTGGTGTCCCCCGCCGTGATATTGCTGGAATATTGCTAAAAGCGGAGTAAAACCATACTCACTCACTCACTCAAATAACCATTTCCTGTTTGTTTCAGGTTTAGTCACCGTCAAACGTGGGCGTATATTTTCTTTTCCCCGGCAGCTTTGTACAGTACTCTTGCAGCTGTGTTAGTTTACACAAGAACTCAACACATTGGTGGACCACAAGCTAAACGTTGTCAGTACGTTAAACAATAGTCTTTTCGAGCAAATAGGCATCGCATGGATGTATGGAGCTTTAACAAAGCAGTTTCTGCTGGTTGACTTCATGTCCATATTTGGATCGTGAAACGTGAAACGTTAATCGGCAATAACGTAATGACTGCATATGTAACTAACTTACATTATTTTATTACGGAAATAACTAATTCTGAGGTTGATGGATGCATCATAAGATTTAAGTTCGCAGACAAAGTGGATTTTGACTGAAATTCACATGGAGCAAGTCGCTTCATAAACGTCGGCGTCAACAGACCTAAAAGAAAGGTCTGCAGACATTAGCACTTATCGGATCTTTCCTGAAAACGATCTTGGTCGTTCTTGTCAAATAATTGTTTTGTTATTTTACGCCGCTGTCAATATCATTCCAGCAATTCTGTTGCAAACATGTTCAAGGTTTTTAATGGAGTTTTTGCTTGCAGAAACCTACTGGTACTGGCACTCAACCTTGGTTTTCTAAGCGATTATAAACGAGATCTGAACACATGTCAATAAATACTACTTCAGGCCGTATCAGCAATCCTCAGTAAATCGAAGCCGGGACCAAGTCGGACAATTCCTGTAATTTTCATTGATGTTGCAGCAGCTGATGCCATGTTTCCATTAACCGAGCGAAAATGTAGGATTATTCCAGTTTAGAATATTTATGCATCGTATCACTATTACAGCCTTCAACAGGAGTCATCGGAAGATGCCTCATCCCTCGCCCCGTTTCATGACGCAAAGCATACCACGAAAAAATAAGAGTGAGTGAGTGAGTTGGGTTTAACGCCGCTTTTAACAGTATTCCAGTCATATCGCGGCGTGTCAGCTTAATGTGGGAGGAAAGCCCAAAGTGATGCAGGTCTCAGACGTTTACCACTTCGGTGAAACCCACGAGCACGGGTAGGGTGCTGACAAACCTAGAAACATAATCGGGGCGAACCGGGATTCGAACCCATAATCATAGGATTCTGGCGTGCCAAGGGACGCAACTCTGCACAGCGAAAAAAATAAGAAGTTTAGGAGCCGGTTTCCTACATGTTACTATAGTCATGGCAAGACAGATTAAATATTGTGATATGAAAGAATCGGTTGGTCCTTTACAGTGAGTGAGTGAGTGAGTGAGTGAGTATGGTTTTACGCCGCTTTTAGCAATATTCCAGCAATATCAGGGCGGGGGACACCAGAAATGGGCTTCACACATTGTACCCATGTCGGGAATCGAACCCGGGTCTTCGGCGTGACGAGCGAACGCTTCAACAACTAGGCTACCCGACCGCCCCTGGTCCTTTACATGTTCAGTGGTACAGAACACTCCGGTGAGGCCAGTCAACCTTTTTGACAAGCTGACTAATTAATGCCTTCCGTTATATAATAAATATTGAATGTGAGTGAACAGGGAACGAACTAAGCATTTGTCGTGTCAAGTTTAACTTTATTCCAAGAGAAAAATATATTTGGCAGAAATCCACTTCAACACTTCAAATTTGCGTGAGTAGGTATTGAATATTTGATGTGATTTGATACAGAACAAACACAGCCACTAGCTGTAGTGCTCATTGGATCCATCAACGTACAAAACACGATAATAAGTGAGCAAGTGAACTAGGCGTAATCGGCGCTTTAAACAGTATTTGTATTTTTCCCCAGCGTACCAGGTTAATGTGGGAGGAGAGATGAAGTGAAGATATGGAATTTTTTACAATCAGCGGATCCTGGCACGAATACGGGTTATAACTCTGCTTATAAGTGTGACTGGAATAACGGGGTCACTTATCCATAATGACCCCATATTTTAGAAAGCCTGTATAAATCTGTATAAACACAATGTTCAATGCATTACAACCAATTACCGATTGTGATTAATCAGACCTGTGAAAAAATTACAAGACGAAGAAGATGATAAATATATATATATATAACTGTTTCAACCCCACAAATATGCGTAACGTAAATGAGAAAATAATCCTCTTTTCAAATTCAATCGAAGTCACGAATCCAGCCAACCGGTCCACCCACCCTAATCATCCTGCTTATCCACCCATCCAGCTAATCCACCCACCCTATACACACAGCTTAACCAACTACCGAATCCACCCACCATGTCCACCCAGCCAGTGCACCAAGTCCATCCACCCACCAAGTCTATCCTGCTTGTCCACCCACCAAGTCCATCCACCCACCATGTCCACCCAGCCAGTGCACCAAGTCCATCCACCCACCATGTCCACCCAGCCAGTGCACCAAGTCCATCCACCCACCAAGTCCATCCCGCTTGTCCACCCACCCTATACACACAGCTTAACAACTAGCGATTCCACCCACCATGTCCACCCAGCCAGTGCACCAAGTCCATCCACCCACCAAGTCTATCCTGCTTGTCCACTCACCCTATACACACAGCTTAACAACTAGTGATTCCACCCACCAAGTCCACCCAGCCAGTGCACCAAGTCCATCCACCCACCATGTCCACCCAGCCAGTGCACCAAGTCCATCCACCCACCAAGTCCATCCTGCTTGTCCACGCACACAGCTTAACTAACAAGCGAATCCACCCACCATGTCCACCCAGTCCATCCACCCACCAAGTCCACATATCTTGTCCACCCACCCTATACACACAACTTAACCAACTAGCGAATCCACCCACCATGTCCACCCAGCCAGTGCACCAAGTCCATCCACCCACCATGTCCACCCAGCCAGTGCACCAAGTCCATCCACCCACCAAGTCCACATATCTTGTCCACCCACCCTATACACACAACTTAACCAACTAGCGAATCCACCCACCATGTCCACCCAGCCAGTGCACCAAGTCCATCCACCCACCAAGTCCACCCAGCCAGTGCACCAAGTCCATCCACCCACCAAGTCCATCCTGCTTGTCCACGCACTCTATACACATAGCTTAACCAACTAGCGAATTCACCCACCATGTCCACCCAGCCAGTGCACCAAGTCCATCCACCCACCAAGTCCACCTATCCTGTCCACTCACACTGTACACACAGCTTAACCAACTACCGAATCCACCCACCATGTCCACCCAGCCAGTGCACCAAGTCCATCCACCCACCAAGTCCATCCTGCTTGTCCACGCACACAGCTTAACTAACAAGCGAATCCACCCACCACGTCCACCCAGTCCATCCACCCACCAAGTCCACATATCTTGTCCACCCACCCTATACACACAACTTAACCAACTAGCGAATCCACCCACCATGTCCACCCAGCCAGTGCACCAAGTCCATCCACCAACCAAGTCCATCCTGCTTGTCCACCCACCCTATACACACAGCTTAACAACTAGCGAATCCACCCACCATGTCCACCCAGCCAGTGCACCAAGTCCATCCACCCACCAAGTCCATCCTGCTTGTCCACCCACCCTATACAAACAGCTTAACAACTAGCGAATCCACACACCATGTCCACCCAGCCAGTGCACCAAGTCCATCCACCCACCAAGTCCACCTATCCTGTCCACTCACACTGTACACACAGCTTAACCAACTAGCGAATCCACCCACTATGTTCACCCAGCCAGTGCACCAACCCACAAAATCCACCCACCCACCAAGTCCACCTAGCCTGTCCACCCACCTTACACACACAGCTTCACCACCCAGAGAACCCAGCTAACCATCCACTTCCATCTACCCAGCCAGTCCACCCTCCCTATCCACCCATCCAGTCTACGAGTACCTAGTTCGACTGTCCCTGTTATGATTGGACAGTATCATGTTTACACCGACTGGCATCTCGTTATACAGTCAATAATTTTAATACCAAACACATTGCCACAAAAGTGGCAGGACGGATATATCTACGCTATTATTACATACTTTCCATATATTTCCCCCACCACTTACATATGTGCCTCGGAATAACGCCATTGATTAAAATTCTGACATTATAATGAGGTTTGTAGGTTTGGCGGTACAGGTAAAAATCCCTCGGTCGTTGGTCTCGCCTCTTCTCTTGGGGATTAAACTGAACACAACCTGTGGCTAAGGTCCGTGCACTTTGTATGGCGTTTAGATTAGTATCGTATGTCATGCATCACGTAACACGAAAAGATGATGGTCGTCATTTTATCCCATCGCTGAGTCAGCGAAATGTCGGCCTCCCTCGAACCCCACTCCGCATCGCTCGCTGTGTCTCTTTGTTGATTTACGCCGGTGATACAAGAATAAATACGATCCAACTTTTGCCTCAGTCCGAGTTGTCGTCTTTGTCCACAGGAAGGACTATCAATATCAGCTGTATCAACCTAGTCAAGGAGTCTGAAAAAGATTAAACGTTAATAATAAGGAACCTTAATACAAAATCGAATACATATGTTGAAGTCATTTTGCAGTGGTAGGGTAGCCTAGTGGTTAAAGCGTTCGCTCGTCACGGTGAAAGCTCGGGTTCGATTCTTGCCCCCTTGTCTTGGTACTGATTGAATATTGCTAAAATCGGCACAAAGCAGTACTCACTCTCTGATTTGTATGCATGCTTAAAACACACGCGTTAATCTTGACATCTTAAACCACGTTATCTGCATTAACACGCGGACCCCATAGATATGTGGGGTGAGTTAGCCTAGTGGGTATTGCTTCGAAAACTCGGGTTTGATTCTTCACGTGGGTCGGTGTATGACAGCCATTTGAGGAGTCCCCCAGCAGTGATGTTGAAGGAACAATGAGTTATCGTGAAGTAATACGTACATATTTCGATTAAAATGAATTCAAAAATACAAACAACGTATTTGTATTTCTTAACACCAAAATGGTATAGCAGTCAACAAGTTTATTTTAACTAACATTACATCCCGTCTATATCAGCACCCTAATTGACACAATAACGGTCAATATATCCTCACTATATCATAACAGTGTGTTTGGTTACAATGCCTCCTCCATAAAATACGTCCAGCATTTTAGCTTGAGAGTAAAATGTATCCCGTACAAAAAATTAAGTTTCAAGGTTATTTACTGAATAAAATGTGCATCAACATTTGATGTTTATCTTTCATTACTCGTTCGTTTGCTGAGCTGGTGAACCAGGTGCAGTGATGCAGGCAGCGATTTCAGCTAGTTCCTTAGACTAATGCTTAGTCTCAGAAAATATATAATTTTGATAGAAACAAATAACTCCATTTATATTGAAAAGGAGCCCCAGTGAGAAAGAAGATTCAGAAGAAAAATATAGACTTGCTTCATTTAGGGAATCTGCACTACAGAAAGGACAGAGCGGAAGGGAAAATATTATCGTTCAGGGACTGTGAGACAGAATACTAGTTCCTGTACCTGCAAGGTAAAGGCCAACGCACACTGAAGTAGCGCTGCAACAGTGTTGCGCAGCGCAGCACGTCTTTAATGAATGATGACACTGGTTGTGAGCGTATATCACATTTCGTAGCTGCTATTGTTTGCGTTACAAGCCCCTGGGCTTTGTCATCATAAGCTGTTAGTTTGATATGTCTCATAACAGTTGAGTTATAAGACAACTAACTTTAAGTTTGACGACTTAAACTTTGTTAGGACTAACATCCTTTATTATATTAAAATGTAGTTGTTTGTTGGTCTGTTAAATGACGCACTCAGCAATATTCCGTTAAATACTCGCTTCTGGAACGGACAATCCTGTGATTGATATTATGAACAGCGTTCCACGCCGACACCCGTTAACATCCGGGTCAGAATATGGCTTCAGCAACCTATGCTTGCCCTAAAAGGCGACTAACGGGATCGGGTGGTCAGGCTCGCTGACTTGTTTGGTGCATGTTATCATATCCCAATTGCGAGGATCGATGCTCATGATGCCATTCACTTTATAGTCTGGTCCAGACTCGATTATTTACAGATCGCCGTCATATAGCTGGAATATTGGTTGTCGATCAGTTCACACACGATTTCACCGAAATTAATGTTAACACTATTGAATGAACTTGTAATTAAAATTTATGATAGATTGAAAAGAATTGTGATATTTTGGTTGACGTACGTTTTCAATACTCATTTCAATCCAAGACGGACATATTGGTAGGACCCAGGTGAAATGAACTACGGGTATAACGGACTATGGATATAACGAACTATGCCTATAACGAGCTATGGATATAACAAACTATGGCTATAACGAAGTGATTTTCATGGTCTCTTGGAGTTCAAGTGTTCCAGTATCAGTTTCCCCAAATCCTTACCTAGTTTGTGTTTAACTGACGCGGGTTTCGACCATACGGTCCCAATCACATACACAGGAAGACCTAACAGCATCAGCAGAAGAGCAACGCCGCTTTCATTGGGCTTCTGGTATATTGTTAATATGAAGATGAGCACGCTGACCATGAAGAGGAAAATAGGTATGGCCACAGGGAGCTGAAACAGGAGACAGCATCAATCAGTCAAGCAGTATTCCATAGCACGAACCACAAATACCTGAATACAAATACAAAATGGCCCTTTTCATGGTTGAGAGAGAGGGAGAGCGAGAGAGTCATTCCGTCAGCATTATGAGAGAGACAGGGAGGGAGAGAGGGGAGGGAGGACGGAGTATCTTTATGGTCAAATGGTAAAGGAGTGATGCCTCCCTCTCTCCGGTGAATTGTTTTCGCCTATGTCTCTATTTCTAATGATTGTTTAATATTTGTTGTAATATTGTTGTCTTCATCTGAAGGATCTGCATCCTTTATGAGCAATACACATTTACTGAATAATAATATACAGTAAACTACGTTTATAACGAACACGCTTATAACGAACTGACGGATATAACGAACTGGTGTTATTTGGTCCCGGCCATTTGCTGATACATGCTGTATATATGCTTATAACGAACTACGGTTATAACGAACTAGAAATTAGTGCTCCCTTTAAGTTTCTATGACCGTAGTTGACTGTACGTACCTTTATAGGGCGAGGCATATCTGGTTCTTTCCATCTAAGATACACCTGACCAGCCAGTACAGCACATAACACCGTCGCAAAACTAAATCCCATCATTTCTATTAGGTAGAATATATTCTCAAAACACTGCATGAGGAGAGTCAGGATGAGCTTGAAGAGAAGCCAAATAATAAAAAACATCAAAATATAAGAAACACATCCTCTCACTGAGTGACACTTCAGATATGTAAAAATATCTCATCACACACACACACACACACACACACACACACACACACACACACACACACACACACACATCCGCCAATGAAAACTGATTTGTCATTTATGGTAATTGATATGAAAAGGGACGATTCACAGCACATTGAAAGTATTCACCCCTGCTCATTGATTCACCCAAGATTGAAACCCATACCATGAGATTATCATGCCGAGTTAATCTAAAACCACAAGTTATTGTGATCCCAAGCATTTTGGAAGACTATTTCATTACGGTGACATTGACCTTCTCGCCAGTCACGTCCATAAAGGTCGGCAAGATAGACATTGCTTGATACAGGGTATTATATATAATGTTCACACTGTCATAACGCTTGTGGACCCGTGAAGATCCGGGGTAGAATAGCTTCAGCAACCCATGCGTGCCGTAAAAGGCGGCTATGGTTGCCGTAAGAGGCGACTAACAAGATCGGGGTCAGGCTCGCTGACTTGATTGATGCATGGCATCGTATCCCAATTGCGAGGATCGATGCTCATGATGTCAATCACTGTATAGTCTGGTCCAGACTCGATTGTTTCAGACCGCCGTCATATAACTGGAATGTTGGTGAGTGTGGCGTTAAACAATACACAAACGAACATAACGTTTAAGCCTATAATGGTAACGTGACGTTATGACGTAAGAGAAACATGTGACGTGTGACATTGTATAACTGAAGGTGCCCCTTCAGCAACCCATGCTTGTTAGAGGCGACTAACGGGATCGGGTAGACAGGCTTGCTGTCTTGTTTAAAGCATGTCATCGTATCCCAATTATGTTGATCGATGCTCATGATGTCAATCACTGGAATGCCCTGTCCATACTTGGTTATTTACAGACCGTCGTCATATTGCTGGAATAATGCCGAGTGCGGCGTTAAATAACTAAAGAAAGAAACAATACTCTTAGGTAACCATTGAACGCTTATCAAACGACAGACTTGATGTAGGATTTGTGTCACCTAAACACCCAGCAGTGCAATGTTTACCCGAATAAATTGTTTGGTTTGCGATATACGTTCAACAAAATGTGTTTGCAGTAAGACAATTCCTTTCTGATATGAAAAGGTCATGTGTTGCTTTAGGTATGTCGCTTTTTGGTATGTTCGATGACTTATCTTCAATGAGTTTATGTCATACTAAACGTCAAAATCGCTGTAAACGATTCAAGAAAGCAAGATAAGTTCATCAAGAATTGTGCGTATTCTGCGTAATTCTGCAGTGCGTATTCTGCGTAATTCTGCAGAGCTAAGTCAAATGGGTGAGGTGAGGTAATATGCGGTTTGGCGTCGCATTTAGTGCGTGTGTGTGTGTGTGTGTGTGTGTGTGTGCGTGCGCGCGCGCTTGTGATTGTGTGTGAGTGATTGTGTGATTGTGTGTGTTTGTGTGTCCTAGTCCGGAATAATGCTGGTTTTATTCTGCTTGCCCACTTAGATACCCCCTAGCTTGCCTATTTAGCTTGCCCACTTGCCACAGCTTAATATGAATACCCGACTCAGATACATTCTGACCCCGAGCGCAAGAAGGCAGGGTGCATTTGAGCACGTTGTTACGTCTTTATGTTTCATACGGTATGTGTGGTGTGGAAACCGCATCTCCTTGTAGATTTTGTTACGTCTTTATGTTTCATACGGTATGTGTGGTGTGGAAACCGCATCTCCTTGCAGATGTTGTAACGTCTTTATGTCCCATACGGTATGTGTGGTGTGGAAACCGCATCTCCTTGTAGATGTTGTAACGTCTTTATGTTTCATACGGTATGTGTGGTGTGGAAACCGCATCTCCTTGTAGATGTTGTAACGTCTTTATGTTTCATACGGTATGTGTGGTGTGGAAACCGCATCTCCTTGTAGATGTTGTAACGTCTTTATGCTTCATACGGTATGTGTGGTGTGGAAACCGCATCTCCTTGTAGATGTAGATAGATAGATATTCTTTATTTCCTCCAGATATTGAAGATACATATCATATATGGTATTATGTATAATTACAGAGCTGTACAGTAGTACAGTTGAACAATATTATTAGAAATGATAACTACAAAATGCATGACAATCAAGCATTCTTATAACTGTTTTGTAACAGATACAGCCATTTCCTACAATATCTTGATACAATAACCATAAGGTCACCCCATAGACTTTGAGATAAAGAGCTAACACACTCAGACATACCGCCAAATAGTACAGACAGGATTATATCATCGTCCTCACAACATAGTCTTGCAAATGTAGAGACCGCATCTCCTTGTAGATATCTCAATGCCAAGCGTCTTTGTTTTAAGTACAGGAAGAATTATATCGAAACGTTGTTTAGGACCTGGAGGGTAAGTTTTAGTTTGAGTTTTCTGGATCTGTACAATTTTGGCGATTGGGATTGGGGACCTGCTGGACACATTACTAACCGAGGGGAAAAGAAAGGATACCGAGTTTGCTCATTTTCTATAATTGAAAATTGAAAGGAATGTTGTGAAATTTAATAATGTTTATTGAACCCTCACTCATTCCTGTACCAGTTTGTAAAATGTTATCCGTGGCAGGGTAATATTGGTTAAAAATTAATTGGCTCAATAAAGATTGGGGAAAGAAATGAATTTGCAACCATATGACCCCTGCCATGTTTGAACTATTTTAAATTTGTGCCGAAGAAAGGATACTTATTGATTTTCAAAGATACGATGTACAAGATACCCAGCAACATTCAGTGTGTTTTTAACGAATGTATTGTTATTAATTTTTAAATTTAAATGATATTTAAAAAACTAAAACCATATAGAAGTATTCTTTGAGTGCTGACTAAACGTCAGTGTAGTTAATTTTTTGGATATAATATATTTAAGATATTTTCAATTGAGGTACAGTTTCTTTTGCTCCTTAGTTTAGAATAATTCTTATCGTTATCAAAATGATATTCTGAGATATCAAAAATCGGCTTCTCAAAGGGGAGTAGCTGAGGCCTTTCACGGGTGCAGGCAACTTGGGAGATGTCCGGATATCAGTTCCCATACCTCTACGGCTTGAGGTCTTGACCCGAATTCAAAACAGATGGATTTGTGACGTGACATTGTTTCATTTTGACGCTGTGTCGGATATCTGACTGTATTTCGTAATCCCGTCACGAAATGTTATGACAGGCCAGACACACGCAAAGCAAAAGTGACATTCCATAAACTGGTTCCACTGTCAGTACACGAAGCAAGTTTTGCCCTTCAGCCAACAGGCAGCGCCCAAGAAAGGGGTGCAAATCTGTACCATTTCCGGTTACAGGTGCACATGCGTAACATCCGGCGGGGATTTAATTGCGTAAGCAAATAAACATGGAGGCACGTGTTCGCCTGTATGTTGTTTTTGAGGGAAAATAATTGCAAACTGCTCTGTTAATGTCAATTTTGTTGAGAGCGAAAGGCGAGCACCGCCTAAGGTGAATATTATCTGTACAAGTTTCATTTTGCCTTTCTGGTAGTTACGTCGCTGTTTGAAACACAAGTTTCAGAAAAAACTAGATTCACCAGTTGTCACTGTCCGACTTTCTAACCACTGATATTGTGACTAACTATATTCATTCGCACCTTCCAGGAAACTTGCAATGTTAAGATTTCGTTTGTGAAAGATGGAAAATACTTATTTTGATGATAGTAATTTGTTTGTTGTTTAACGCGGCACTGAGCAATATTTCAGCTTTATGACGGTGTACAGTAAATAATCCAGTCTAGACCAGACAATCCAGTGATTGTTATCGATCATGCGCATCGATCCACGCAGTTTTTGGATGGTAAATATCCTGTATTAGGAAAAAGACTATTTATTTAGCGTACTAAATACAGTGTTTATTCCTAATACCGGATATTTACCAAAAACGCTGTCGTCTGATAACCTCTATGTATAAAGGTGGGTGAGTGAGTATGGTTTTACGCCGCTTTTAGCAATATTCCAGCAATATCACGGCGGGGGACACCAGAAATGGGCTTCACACATTGTACCCATGTCGGGAATCGAACCCGGGTCTTCGGCGTGACGAGCGAACGCTTTAACCACTAGGCTACCGGACCGCCCCTATGTATTAGACACCTGATGTAGTAGTAACATACTGTAATGCTGCAATGTTGCAGGAGACTTCGAATATGTTATATGTTTATGGTTTATACTCATGAATAGCGTGGAAACCGGTGAAAAATGTAGGGGTTTTATTTGTCCCGCTTTCGGTTTCATACCACGAGCCGGAGGCAGGTGGTATGCCACCAAACGCGTGAACCAATCAGATAACATCATTCTGACATGGAGGTATGATAAAAAAAAATATTTTAGTTAGTAAGTATGGTTTTACGCCCCATTTTAGCAATATCCTAGCAATATCACGGAGGGGGGACACCTGAATGGGCTTCACACATTGTACCCATTTGGGGAATTTGACCCGGGTTTTTGGCGTGACGAGCGAACGCTTTAGCGTCTCGGCTACCCAACAACCACACATAATTTGCGAATGTTGTGACCCGTCTTGATAACGAAAACAAGTAGTCAAATCAACTGTATATAGTATACTGTTTTTATACCATGCTTTGCTTAATCTGTTTTAAAGGTATCAGGCAGCGGTTCAGCAACCCACACAATAATGGCAACTGGGTGTTTAACAGCTGGGGAGGCATGCTGTAGGATGTGGTAGGCAGGAAATTGGATGTGAAGGCTGAATTACACCAATGAAACAAACGTTTGTCAGTTAGACCTGATACCACATGTCTTTCTATGTTACTCCAGAGTAGCATTAAATGTTTTTAAGGAATTTGTTTGTCTTGCAAAAATTAGAAGAATTTGCGTATATATAATATGCACAACCGTCACGACTTTCATACCAAATGAAAGCCATGCATAGTTCTTTATCATCATATCACACGGCACATTGTCGCAAACTAAAAAACTAATCGCATAGGTAATGCAAAAAAACGATACCATTCTTGTGCCTCTGAGCATTTAAAACGCAGATGTGAAAATCACACATGCTCGCACCAATTAAATAGCACAGGGTTTTAGTGTTAATTGACAAAGTGTTTAATATAATCCATCTATAACATTCAAGGGCGGATCCATCATTTTCAAAAGGGAGGGGTCCAAAATACTCCCAGCTGGAAGTGGGACGGGGATTGTCTACAACATACTACGCTTGGTTTTCATAAGGATTGGACTAAGACGGAACCCAGTCGCAAATATGGCCATGAAAGGGGCACGAGACGCTATTCGGCTTGTCCCGGAATAAGACGAGTTGGTCACGAATGACCCGCTCCATCAAATGTAATACTCACAATAACTATTAAAGATGGCGCTGGCGTGAGATGTTTCAATGTGATCATTGATATGAAACTCGGCAAGTGATTGTGTTTAGCACCAGCGAAAAACAACCTAAAAAAAAAAGAACCTGGATCACTGTAGGTCTGGACACTGCTAAACCAAGCTATGGGCCTCGGCACAAGTACAGACGTATAAGTCAGATGTGGAACGAGGGGTTAAGCTGCAGTGAGGGGGCTTGCGTTGGGCGGAGACCAGGGTAGAGATTGGTAGAGAGCGAGGCTGCTTGGTGGCGAGTGGGTTCGTGGTTGAGATTGGCTGTGGGTGGGTTTGAGTTTAGCTGAGTTGGTGGAAAGCAGAAGTGAGTTTGGCGGGGTTTGCGTTTGGCTGAGGGTCTGTGTTTAACGGTTTGTAGGGTTGAGTTTGGTTGAGAACAAGGTTGAGTGTGGGTGAGAACAAGGTTGAGAACAAGGTTGGGTGTGGTTGAGAAAAAGGTTGAGTTTGGTTGAGAACAAGGTTGAGTGTGGTTGAGAACAAGGTTGAGTTTGGTTGAGGACAAGGTTGAGTTTGGTTGAGAACAAGGTTGAGTTTGGTTGAGAACAAGGTTGAGCGTGGTTGAGAACAAGGTTGAGTTTGGTTGAGAACAAGGTTGAGTTTGGTTGAGAACAAGGTTGAGTTTGGTTGTGTTTGAGCTTGACGGACAGTGGGGTTGACTTTGACAGAGAACAAGGTTGAGTTAAGCTGATGTGAAGGGTGAAATGGGGTTTAACGTCGCGTCCAAGATTATTGCACTTATATAGCGACGTGCATTTACGTGTGTGTGTGTGTGTGTGTGTGTGTGTGTGTGTGTGGCTGCTTGTACTATTCCGGACGGATGCCTATTTCTAGTGCTATCCCACTGAGATACCATGCCGCAGTTTAACATGAATATCCCACTCAGCATACAGCCGACCATTGTTTGACTTCCTTAGCCCATTAATGTCGGGCGCCAGACAGGGTAACAACAAGTACCATCTTTTAACATCTTTTGAGAGCGATGTTGAGTTTGGCTGAGAGAGGGGTTTAGCTTGGCGGATAGTGGCGTTGAGCTTTGTGAATACATGATAGTGGCGTTGAGTTTGGCGGAGAATGAGGTTGAGTTTGGTGGAGAATGGGGTTGAGTTTGGTGGAGAGTGGGGTTGAATTGGGCGGAGGGTGGGGTTGAGTTTGTCTTTGTGTACCTGGACATAGAGAGACAGGATCCGTTCATAGCTCCGATCACAGACACGGCTATCAGCACTGGCATGATCCACTGTAGAACAGGCACGGTGCGGGCAGAGAACGTCTGAAAACATTCGCCCAAACACAACATTTGACACGAACCCTGAATACACCACATACAAGCCACACATAGTTACTCATCATGAATCTGCGTTAATACAGTTAGTAAACAAAATGAACGAAATTCCCAGTTGAAATTCGGGATAGATTAGTTTCCGTGTACCAATGGTAATACTTCAGTGTCCTTGTTGATTGTCACATGCCCCCTAGGGCTGAAATTCGCTGTGCAGAGTTGCTCCCCTTTGAGCACGCCAGAAATCTATGATCGTGTGTTCGAATCCCGGTTCGCTTCGATTCTGTCTCTTCCCTTGGCAACCCGTACTCGTGGGTTTCACCAAAGTGGTAAACGTCTAAGACCTGCATTTTTTCGGACTTTCCACAAGCTGACGGGCGTAATATAACTGGAATAATGTTTAAAGAGGCGTTAAAAAAAACTCACTCACGCTGTCACATGCACCCCAACACCGAATAGGGCATAATTGCTTACAATAGTGCCAAGTTAGGACCCAGGTTACACCAGCCCCCAGCACTCTTCTGCTCAATGTCTCAGCCATTGGTTTTTCCTTCACAGACTCGATTATTTCAGTTCGCCGCGATAAGGCTGGAGTTTGTAGAGGGCGGCGTCAAACAACATGCAGACACTATACTCACGACAGCGACCGCAGTGGAGTCGAGCATCTCCGCCGGAGTCAGCACAGCGAAGTAGGCGATGTTGGCCGTGATGTAGACGCTTGTCACTATCGTCATGGAGATAACGATAGCACGAGGGACATTGCTGTAGACGTATCAAAAAATCAATGGTTCATCTTAATTTGTGACAATAGTAGTAGTGCCTTGGTTATTTAACTCAGTGTCGATGACTTTTAGCAATTCATGCGAACCAACGTTCACAATTATTCTTCCCAGTCAAAACAGTTCAAACAACAACGTTCATGTAAAAAATCGTTCTGATTAAATACTACTCCAACGAAGTTAAAGAACACCCGATTCTTTCATATGACTAAAGTAAATATATCAGAAGCCACCAATTTCCATGTTGAAATTCCCACTATGAAATATTTTAGATTTCCAACAGACGTCCTCTTAACTTTCAATTATCTCTGAACTAGTTTTAAGGTAAATCCTATTCTGAGGCTTCTGCGTCACTTCTTTCTAGTAACTGGCCGCCTCCGTGGTCTAGTGGTAGAGCGTCCGCCCGGAGAGCGGAAGGTCCGGGGTTCGATCCCCGGCCGCGTCATACCAAAAGACGTTAAAAGATGGTACTTGTTGTTACCCTGTCTGGCGCTCGACATTAAGGGGCTAAAACAAGGACTGGTCGGCTCGGAGTCAGTATACTGTGTCTGAGTGGGGTATTCATGTTAAACTGCGGCATGGTAGCTCAGTGAGCTAGCACTATAAATCGGCATCAGTCCGGACTAGTACAAGCAGCCACACAAACACACACACGTACATGCACGTCGCTTTATAAGTGCAATAATCTTGGACGCGACGTTAAACCCCATTTCACCTCACCTCTTTCTAGTAACCTTCGTCACTTTGATGCAGATACATAGGGGAGGTGGGAGGGGCTACCTCCTGATGTAATAGATGCCATGGCAGATTAGCAATTGTCATATGAAAGAATCGGGTGACCTTCAACTTCTTTTGGGTAGTCTATAAACACTGGGACAATGTCGACTCGAACTTAAGTAACTCGAAATATTGTTCAAGTCGATATGTCTTATGTCGGCACTCTGCATGTCTCGAAATCGATGTATTTCCAGCGGTTTCGAGGAAACGAAGGTTTATCATACATCCGGAAATCACGTGACACACACCTACCGATGAGGATCTATCACTTCGTCACACAGGAAGTTTAAGTAGTTCCTGAAAAAAACATAAGAGGCGTTACAGGTTGTAGGAATATACTTGCTAGAATACACTGCTGCATATTGCCACTCGACCTTAACAGTATGTACAAAAAGCTATACTGGCCCGGGGTATGTCAAAAGATATGAACGTATGAATAAAACACACATCATAAGGTCTAATTTGGCATTATGTAAATTTAGATACGTATCTTGCATTAAGCAGAAATGTATCAAGTCTTATGTAAGTACTTATCTAGTATTATATAAACACACTCTTCAAAAATAAAGTAACGCACAGGAGATACTGAGAATGATGATTTTGTTATTCTTGAAACATTCAATACAAATGCAATATTTTTTATTGAACGATGTTAGTTCGTTAACTGACGTCGTGCACAACCACACCCGTTATAAACTTTTGTAGCTTTATACAGCAATTTTTTATGCAGAATGAGTGTGTAAGTTGTGACAATCTTGTGCAGTCACACTGACTATAAAAGGTCAAACGTCAGTCAACATTTTGTCACACGTTTGTCGACTTATTTGAAGTGGGACTGATTGCTGCCAATCGCAACATCGCCATAGGACGCCTTGAAGCTGAAGTGTCCCAGTCTGCAGCTGCGCGTCATTTCAACGTACACCAGAGCACCATATCTCGTTCATGGGAACGGTATACCCGAGAAGTGGTGGACCAAGAGTCACCACCCCTACACGAGATCGCCACACCCGGGTCTCTGACATGCTACTGGCACCGAGACTGCAGGGCATGTGCCTGGTGTGACGAGGATATCGGACCAGACACTCAGGAATCGTCAGCGAGAGGTGGGAATTAGACCCAGAAGACCGGCACCTGGCCCTGTTGTGAGACGGTTGCATCGACGACAACGTATGCGATGGAGTCACACTGTACAGGCATGGAAGCTGAGAAACTGGCGACAAGTCTGGCTCAGTGATGAATCACGATTTCTTCTCCCATGCCCAGAAGGAAGACAGCGTGAAATGAACGTTTTGCACCGAACGACGTTAGACAGGTCGACAAATTCGGTGGCGGAAGTGTGATGGTGTGTAGAACCATTTCCAACGGAGATCTGACTTGGTGGTTCATGGGAATCTGACAGCAAATCAGTACATCGACCAAATTCTTCAACGTCACCTTCTTCCGATTATCAACCGACAGAGTCGTTTCAACATGACAACGCTACACCGCACACAGCTCGTGTCACTGTTGACTTCCATCATAATTCCAACGTCAATGTCTTGCCATGGCCTTCCAGATGTCTATGGGATGAACTCAATAGACCTGTACGTCAGTGTCATAATACGCCACAGACACGGTGATCACAACAGGTACTGATCGAAACGCGTTTCTATTTTTGAAAAGTGTATTTATTTAGTATTACGTAAATATTTATCTGGTATTATGTAAATATTTATCTAGTCTTATGTAAATATTTATCTATTATTATGTAAATGTTTATCTAGTATTATGTAAATACTTATCTTGTGTTATGTAAATACTTATCTAATATTATGTAAATACGTATATAGTGTTATGTAAATACTTATCTAGTATTATGCAATACGTACCAACCCCCGAAGGCCCAGAACCCAGAGTAGAAACCTACAGCTATGGCACCTGCACTGTAATCGCTGCCCTCAAACGAGTTCTCGAACTGAGCAGTCTCACCTAAATACAATCAACATCCGAAAACAATTTGGTTAGAAGAGTTTTCTCTTGTCAGGGACGATCGGACATTTCATAGAAATCTAAATGGCCCAAACGGTATTGAAATTACATGTGAGTGAGTGAGTGAGTGAGTGAGTGAGTGAGCGAGTGAGTGAGTGACTGAGTGAGTGAGTGAGTGAGTTGGGTTCAACATCGCTTTGAGCATTATTCCAACAATATCACGGCCTGTCAGCTTAAGGAAAGCCAGAAGTGATACAGGTCTTCGCCGTTTACCACTTTGGTGGAACCGACGAGCACGGATATGGTGCTGACAAACCTAGAAACATAATCGGAGCGAACCGGGATTCGAACCCACGATCAAAGGTTTCTGGCGTGCTCAAGGGGGAGCAACTCTTCACAGCGAATTTCAGCCCTGGGGGTGTGACAATCAACCAGGACCCCGAAGTATTACCACTGGTACATGGAAACTAATCTATCCCGAATTTCAACTGGGATTTTCGTTCATTTTGTTTACTAGCTGCATTGCAGTGATATCGTAACGTGGGAGGAAAATCCGAAGTGATGCAGGTCTAAAATTACAGATACCATGTGTCATTTTTGTGGTCAACAAAACATCTCTGCTCGCGGGTATAGTTTAATGTCATTGTTATTCCTCGCACTCTACGAGGCATACTTTAACCAAGTTTGGAATCGAACCCGGGACTTAGAATGTTGAACGAAAGCTAAACCATCAACCACCAACCTTAGGCTATCTCAACGTCCCTGTGTTTAAATGTTAACGGATTCAATAAGAGCTCCAGAGGAGACAAACTTAATCAGCATTTACTCACCTTTGCCAAGCCACATGAATCCGATGATAATGATGATAAAGAGAGCGATGAGTTTGCTGGTGGTGATGACAGCTTGTACTTTGGTGGCCCACTTCACGTTCATGCAGTTTAACGCGATCAAGAGGACTGAAAAGACAACGTGTTAAATCAGCAAGGTGAGTGAGTGAGTGAGTTGGGTTTAACGCCGCTTTTAACAGTATTCCAGTTATATCACTGCGTGTCAGCTTAATGTGGGAGGAAAGCCCGAAGTGATGCAGGTCTCAAACGTTTACCACTTCGGTGTAATCCACGAGCAATAGAAACATATTCGGGGCGAACCGGGATTCGAATCATAGGTTTCTGGCGTGCCCAAGGGACGCAACTCTGCACAGCGAATCGTGGCGCCTTAGACGACTGGGCCACCCGTGTCCCCGCAAGGTGGGCGAGTTTGGTTTAGCGTTTGGAACAATATTGCAGTTATATCACGGCGTGCCAGGTCTGGGGTAGGATCCTAGACGTATACCACTCTTATGAAACCCACGAGCACGGGTATGGATACTTGGATAGTCTGTCTTATAGACCGTGAGCCAAATATATCCAATACAGTCCATGCAAGTCTGGCAAGACTGAAAATGACCCTTGACTCCTTTTTATTATTTTTCTATAACTGCAATGTAACAATATAAGTTGTAGCAGGATCACGAGCGGTACATTGGGGTTCCGGCTCGTGGTATTAAACCTAACGCGGGACACGTTACGTTGGTGCCACACCTAATGGTTCAACTTAAGTACCGTTAATTTATATTTTTTTTATTCGAAATGTCTCGTAATTTGAATAATTTTCATGAAATTACGAGTGTTTTCTCGTTATTTCAAGTTTTGTTTTTTTTAAATCGAGAAAATAATTGAAATAACGAGAAAATCGAAATAACGAGTAAATAATTGAAGTCTCGAGAATATATTCGAAGTAACGACATAAAAAAATCGAAATTTCATTTCTTTTAATAAACTTGAAATAACAAGAAAAGGAAGGAGAAGGAACTCAATCAAACCGAGAAATTTCGATCAAAACTTGGTGGCACCATTAGGTTTTCGTACACATACGCTTACCGCATAAGTTAGAAAGTTAGCCTGCTTATCAGCCGAGTGCATCGTGATCCAACTACAGGTCACAAGACGATTGAGATGGATTTTGTCAGTGTGTCATCCACGACCTAGCTCATAGTCCCTGAACCATATTGTTTTCCCTTCAGCCCAGCCCTTACTGTTATGCTAGAGTTTTAAATGAAGCAAGTCTAGATTTTTCCCAGGTATGTCCAATATCACTGGGCTCTTTTTCAATTTAAATGCAGTTGTTTGTTTCTGTCAAAAAGCCTATATTTTCAGAGACTAAGCGTTAGTCTGTTCAGGGATCTGAGATAAATTTCCACTCCTTGACATGATCTGTGACCTATAGTTTCGACAAAGGTCATTTCGACGGTGTTACATTATACCCACTTCCTGTTCACGTGTCGACCACGTGGCAGCTGCACCACCCTTCTCAACACTTGACATACATACTCGACACGTGTTTGCCATACAGGTAAAGTGAGCAACTTCAGGTGTCACCTGTCCTAGTCTAATATAGGTTAATAAAAATCATCAGAATTTTCCATTGTACTATTCCAACGATATAGTAAGCATGCGTTTATGAATCCCTATCAAATAGTTTTTCTGAAGACGGAACAGTACAGAATAACAGTTAATAGTTTTTTTTTTATGAACCAGTTCATTGACCTGTAATTCAATCAACCTGACTCAAGGGACTTAAGGACCGGTGTAAGAAAGTATTTGGATCCCCGTAGTATTTGATAACCTTAATAAGACGGTCGATGTGCTGTGGGCAGTGTATGTATATATTTACCCTTACAAACACACTCGAGGTCCATGTCTTAGATAGGAAAAGGGGTGGGGTGGGGTGGGGTGGGAGGTGTCTTCCTGCTATGGGGTGGATCTCCTATTCAGAGGAAATTGAACCCTTCGTATTTCTAGCGAACAATACACTCAACGTACATTTATCATAAGAAACTGGTGCAGCGGTCGCATGCGATATAAGTAACATCAACGGAATTGTTATACAGTAAACTACGTTTATAACGAACACGCTTATAACGAACTGACGGATATCACGAACTTAAGTTTTTGGTCCCGGCCATTTGCTGTATATATGCTGTGGATATGCTTATAACGAACTTCGGTTGTAGCGAACTAAAATTTGTGGTCCCTTTGAGTTCGTTGTAACCGTAGCTTACTGTATATGAAAGGAGGTGGATTGAACAAGCTGAGCTTCAACTGAGAGAAACATACGTGCTGCAAGAGATTCATCCAGCACCGCATCTCTACTTGAGCACACATTGACTTGAGTGTGACACAGTAGCGGATCCTGGGGGATTGGGGTATTGGGGGTGTCCACTCCCCTTTTGTAAATATGAAAAACATGGTTGATATGGTTGTTGATATTGAAATTTGTTTGTTTGCGATTTTTTTGGTATGCTTTTGGATGAAATACCCACCCCTCCCTACTCCCTTCACTCCCCGGAGGTACATATGGCCGACGTGGACCCCTCAACACTTTTTTTTCAAAATCCTGGATCCGTTCCTGTTACAGGTTGGATGCTTTCTGTCCAAGGTGAGGTTAGGTGAGGTTCGGTGAGGTTCGGTGAGGTGAGGTTAGGTGAGGTGAGGTGAGGTGAGGTGAAATGGGGTTTAACGTCGCGTTCAAGAGTACTGCACTTATATAGTGACGTGCATGTACGCGCACGCACGTGTGTGTGTGTGTGTGTTTTCGTGTGTGAGTACGTGCGTGCGTGTGCGCGTGCGTTCGTGTGTGTGTGACTGCTTGTCTCAGTCCGGCCTAATGCCATGTTTATGGTGCTAGCCCACTAAGATACAATCCTGCAGTTTAACATGAAGACCCCACTCAAACTCAGTATACTGACTCCGAGCCCACTTGCAACATGTCCTTGTTTTAGCCACTTAATACAGAGCCCCGGACAAGATAACAAGTGTTTTGATATCTCTTGACTCGGATGGGGATCTCCAGGTAGACGTTGTATCCACTACATCGCGGAATCGGTATTTCTGTCCAAGGGTATACCGTTGCCCATACAGACGATAATGTTATAACTTGGCCTTTGGTGTCTGTATTGAGCAAAAAAGGAGTACAATCACGCAGGCTCATTTTACGAAGATTTCAAAGAGCGTCTCTTGCTGAAAAGGTCATGAGGGTTCCATCATTCAAGGCCTTAGTAAGGGTTTCAAACCGTTTTAAGGGTAGATATTTGGAGAACGTTTCTAAATTTGATGCACCCGTCACCAAACTGATGTCTGACGCAATTCCCTATTATTTTACTTGACTTGCCTTTCCATGGGTTTGTGACGAGTGCCCCCGTTGGGGCGGGATTCACCTCATAATTGATAGTGATTCTAAACATGCGCTTATAACATAGTCGGAATGGTTCACCAGATTTTTCAAGGTTATTATCATGAATAGGATTTTATCTCTTTTATTTACATGCACATTGTAGTGAGTGAGTTGGGTTCAAGGTCGCTTTGAACAGTATTCCAGTTATATCACGGCGTGTCAGCTTGATGTGGGAGGAAAGCCTAAAGTTATGCATGTTTCTCACGTCTATTTTATGGTCTCTGGTGAAACCCACGAGCATGGGTTCAGTGCTGATAAACCTAGAGACATAATTTTGGCGAACCATGTTCCGAACACACAATCATAGGTATCTGACGAGTCCAATTGCAGTGCCTTAGACGACTGGGCCACCCATGCTACATGTGCACAGTTAGGCAATTTGCAGAATTATTAAGCAGTAACTATGGTTGAAACGATTCAAATGCGATAAACAGACACTAAAACCTAGAACAGCTGAGTCATTGTGGAAGTGGTGAGGCAGTGAATGTTGTTCAACAAGACAGCAAGATCAGTGATCGAAGCAAACAAAACATGAATCGCTGTTTCATTGAACGATATCTTTTAACATGAATACTTCGTGCACTTTCAGGCTTAAGTGACAGAGGCATCCCTGTGACACAGTCATCCAAATGTACTCCCTGACAGTTTTCTTATATCTATAGTTTTCTGACCACAGCTTGGCATTTTTAACGGATCAGGCATCAAACAGATGTACTATGTTTTGATACTTACTATTGATTATCGCTGCAAGGAGCCATTTGGAAGAAAACGGAGGGTCACAGTACGGGAAGACAGGACGCAGAACGTAAGTAGCACAAGTAAGGCCTGCAACGGCTTGGGACATAGGGACACTAAAGACAAGATACACCCAGAGACACAAAAATGCCGGAAAATCCCCGAATGCACGTCTAATGTACACATATTCTCCACCGGATACGGGGATTGAAGCGCCTAATTCTGCATAGCACAGTGCACATAGCGTCGAGTAAACTCCACACAGCGCCCAAGTGACACAAGACATGCCAACAGAGCGTACATTGTTGAGAATTCCAACAGGTGACACAAAAATCCCTGCTCCGATAATACCACCAACAATTATGGAAACGCAGTGAAAAAGGTTGATCTGCCTCTTCAACTGCACTTTCTGATGTTGGTTGATTTCGAGATCTTGTTGTGTCACCAACCTCTCCCTCTTTGTTCTGGCGGCCATGTTGTACATATATCTTATACAAATATGAACTTTCGTGCTCTTTCTAAATGAAAGCAAACAAACCTGCATTCTGGTGTAGATACTTGCGGCGCTTGAGAGCGTGTGAGTGAGTGAGTTGGGTTAACGCCGCTTTGAAAGGTATTCCAGTTATATCACCGCGTGTCAACTTAATGAGGGAGGAAAGCCCACAGACGTTTACCACTTTGTTGGAACCCACAAGTACGGGTATGGTGACAAACCTAGAGATATAATTGGGGAGAACAGGATTCGAACCCACAATCATACGTTTCTGGCGTGCCCAAGGGACGCAACTCTGCACAGCGAATGTCGGCGCTTTGGATGACTAGGCGACCTGTGCCCCGAGGCGCGTTAGACACCCAGATGTGACCACAGGTTTGGTTATTTCTGTCCCCTGCCTGTGAGACAGACACATAGTAGCAAATACGTGTCAATACTACGAGGTGAGGTGAGGTG